AAAACAGGGATTCAATCCTCTACCCTGTTTTCAATCTCCAACCCTGATTTCTGTGACACGTGACAAAATAGGGGGACTAACCCTAACCCTAACCCTAACCCTAAGGTTTCAATCTCCAACCCTGTTTTCTGTGGCACGTGACAAAATAGGGGCCCTATGCCAATACATACACCGTGGAAACAGTGGTTCAATCTGAGGTCCTGGTTTGAATCTCCAACCCTCTTTTGTGTGGCACGTGACAAAATAGGGGCCCTAAGCCAAACCCTAACCCTAACCCTAACCTAACCCTAAGCCCTAACCCAAGGCATACACAATGACAACAGCGATTCAATCTCCAACCCTGTTTTTCATCTCCAACCCTGTTTTCTGTGGCACGTGACAAAATAGGGGCCCTAAGCCAAGACATACACCGTGGAAAAGTGGTTCAATCTGAGATCCTGTTTTCAATCTCCAACCCTGTTTTCTGTGGCACGTGACAAAATAGGGGCCCTAAGCCAAGACATACACCGTGGAAACAGTGGTTCAATCTGAGATCCTGTTTTGAATCTCCAACCCTGTTTTCTGTGGCACGTGACAAAATAGGGGCCCTATGCCAAGACATACACCGTGGAAACAGTGGTTCAATCTGAGATCCTGTTTTGAATCTCCAACCCTCTTTTCTGTGACACGTGACAAAAAGGGGGCCCTAAGCCAAGACATACACCGTGGAAACAGTGGTTCAATCTGAGATCCTGTTTTCAATCTCCAACCCTGTTTTCTGTGGCACGTGACAAAATAGGGGCCCTAAGCCAAGACATACACCGTGGAAACAGTGGTTCAATCTGAGATCCTGTTTTCAATCTCCAACCCTGTTTTCTGTGGCACGTGACAAAATAGGGGCCCTAACCCTATATATTTTCTGGATTTTGTTTGGTTGAAAGCCCGCAGCCGCGCGGATGGATGTGCAAATGTGCATGCCAACTTCCCGACCTCGGGCCCGGCGGTCTGCACGGAGACGTGTGCACTGCTCTGCATCTCTGCTGACACCGCCACGAGCTATTTCATCGATACTCTAAGGACTCTAGATATCCTTCTGGAGGATTTTGGCTGCAAGAAGAAGTTCTGGAGTTTCTGGAGTTTTTGGGTTGAAAGCCTGCAGCCGATCGGATGGATGTGAATATATGTGCATTGCATGTGCCGGCGTGCCGGCCTCCTGACGCGGGCTCGGCGGTCTGCACGGAGATGTGTGCACTGCTCAGCATCTCTGCTGACACTGTCACGACATGTGCATTGCTCAACGGCTGCTGGAAACTACATACTTGGGGCATTCAGCAGTACGGACTCAATCATGGCCTCATGGCCATCATCATCAGCAGAACGACGAATTGATTGAAGTCGTCGACTTTCATGCATGATTCTGTACCAACCGTGGACGTGCATCCTTCCCGTCGTGGGTGCGAGTTGTACTTGCGACCAGTGGGGGTAAAACTGGAGGTAATGATGAGGGAGGGGTGGTTCGGTTGTTCGCGCACGGGGGAGATCTACGAATGAGACATACAACAACGGCCGCGTTCTCACAAGCTGACACAAGCGTTAGCACTAAACTCGCAGGAGGGGCCGAACGGGCCTGGATGAACACCTCTTTTAGCCCACACGAAAATCGATCGATGGAAGCTCGAGAAACATCGACCGAAGAAAAACATCTTGCTTTTAGATAATAGACCGGAGATCGCCTGCTCTAAAATCAAGTGAAATGCAGAGAGTGGGGTCAAAAAAGTGGGGTCGGAAAAAGTGGGGTCGTTTTCGAATATTATTTCTGAGAATATCGGCGACGGAAACTGTCGGGCTTCAGAATTTCCGCAAAAGATCGAGCGTCGCACATGCAGACAAAAGTAGCACATAAATAGGTTTGAGAAGTTCGTCAACAGCTACTTCAGCTTTGGGCTTCAGAGTTGGGAGCGTGTGTGTGTTTTTCCCTGCAGCCCTGTAGAGATCCCCCCCCCATGATCGCATCGTGGATTTTCGTCGCTTGGCAACGACGTTGCGAAACACGCCCATCGCTTCGTGACCTCGACCACCGGGCTTCTCATTGTTGGTTTGTGATTTACGGGAACCATATGGTGCTCGAGTAGATCATGTTGTGCGGGATCGAGAACCTTTCACCACCCGCAAAGGGAATGAGAGCACCACGTCGTTATGACTTTTGGTCAAGTACCCTCGAGGTAATTACAAAGTGTTTGTAACTGTCTCTGGAAGTGCAAGCATCAGAAATTATAAGATGGAAGTCGTTTGCAGCCGTCATCTCTGTGCAGGAAGTAAGCACCAGATACCGGGTGTAGCAAGATGCACAGCACACCCCTCACGGCGCTTCGCGCTTGGTGATGTGGGAGCCTGGTCCGGTGAGAGAACCCGGCGTGCTCCGACCCCCGGTTTTGTAGGGATGCGAGGTCAATGTACGGCATGCACGGCTATTGGTACACCCCCATGATTCCTCCCGTATCGCCTTGCCGCAAGGACAGCAACCGATTTTTCAGAGTTTTTTGTCCAAAAACATGAATAAAAGCGGCACGCATCGAGACTGCGCAACAACAAGCACCGAAACAACAGAAAACGAAGTGGAGTAAATAGACTGGGAAAATGGTCAAGATGGACAAACCTGTACATTAAAAACGTAAGACAGAAGCACGAAATATTAGTACTCGGACATCCGGAAAACGCCAGAAACCGTGAAACACCCCACTATAAACAACGGACTAATCCGTGCATGTGCGGAGAGACTCCTGCAACACCTCCTTCAGCACAAACCTTGGTACCTGTAACGGCGCCTCCCCTCGCACCGAACACACGACCCTCGACAACGTTCGACGACGTCCAGGGTGCCTCTAGAATACGAAATTCAGCTCGCTTTCCCGGGTCCCAACATTACAATCCCCCCCACAAACCCTCTTCTCGCGTCGTCCACGCTTCCTTCGCCTTCAGCTCAATATCCACCTTAGCCTTGTCCTCCTCTGACTGCTGCGGCCGAAGGCCTACGGTTTCGTCGATAGCATGTGCCCAGCTGTCTAGAGACGCCTCGGAGTCGACCTGGCACAGGAGTGATGTATCCTCCCAGCTAGATGCAAAATTGTTCGAGCGAAAACACAGCGGAAAGGAGGGGTCAAGGATGTTCCTCGTCCGACGCCAGTTCATGTTGATCAAGCAATGCGCTCAACACGGAGTGTACTGCATCATGAGGAGATGCGAATGTTGACATAAGGGAGGGGTCCCTATATTTTCATTGCGCATAGATGTGCCGTCTACCACGCCCCAATATCATATGACCAAGCCAAGCCGCACTTTCATAGGTTCTTTGGCGTGGACAAGTGCTGCTTGTTGCCTTCCCGTGTGATCCCGGCTGTGCATCAAACCTAAAACCGGGAACATACACAGAATGATGAAGATTGGCGCTCACAAAAGGAACGGTGAAAACAACACACACAAGACACAGTGTGTAGTGATGAAACACGAGAGACTTTGACGACGAGGCGGAATTCCTTCCACTGAAGGACAAGAACAAGAGTCGGAGACGTTTCTCATTTTGATCTCGCCCGGTTTCTGTCTATGCGGACTCGTGACCCCTGATCGGAGGTGGGTTGAAATTACATAGCCCATACACCACCCAAACCATGCGGATGGCAAACGACGGCGGTTCTCAATGGGTCGAAAGATAGAAGTAAGACAAAAAACTCCTCTACACACTCTGGGAAAAAACAGACCACGTGCGCTGCTCTTGTAATGGAGATAATAATAGATCTTTTTTCCTGTAGGGTCTACGGACTACCTCGTTTCGGCCCGAAAAGTTCCGACAAAGAGTCAGTCGCAAAGCGATGCCACTGCACGTTTTTGTTTTTCCAGCCAAAACCAGTTATTGCCTCTTATGAACGAGCCAGATGACCGATATGGACTACACCCACACGTTGGCGAAACCGCGTCCGCCCACCCATCCTGCCCCATTTTTCACTCACAACTGTCAGAGGATGGGTACGGGGGGATCATGGAATGCTTTCCTGTCCAGTTTATCGCAAGGTTGGGTGTTTGCCGGTGGAAAAGATCAGCTCGGGTGGCAGCAACCGGATTCCAAATGTTCAACGCCTGCGGGTGGCCTGGTGCCCTCTCTGCTGCATCGCTATCGCCGACTCCGCAATGAAAAAATGAACGCGGCGCACTCGTAAAACATTTTTTTCGCACCCCAGGTGCACAAGGTGTCGCCACGGGTGCTCAGGGAAGCGAAAGATGAGTCAGGCGCTCACCGAAAACCTTATTCTGCCATAGTTTGTTCCAAAATGTATCCAAGAGTCGTTCCAACGCAGCAAAATCAATCAAAGAAGCGTATCCCTCGTTTGACCCAAAAGCAGGTGACACCCATGTCGATCCCACTCTCGGCAATGAACTTCTGACAGTAAAACCTTCATGGTTTTCGTGTTAAAGCCACTGCCTTTATCCAGTGGCAAGTGAGCGGGAAGAAAGTAACGTCTGTGATCCTTCAGATCGTCAGAGCACGGTGGAAATTGAGAGGGCTCAAGAAAGAGTTGCAGGGATGACTTTGATGAAGCCCGAAAAAGTAGCAATCACCTCAAGAGCGCAAAGCGAAGTCGGGCAGAAACCGACCCAGCGCAGGGCAACAATGCTATGCATAGCATGAGATAAACAGATGATGAGGCAGCAATTCTCCTTGTGCCCCAGACGCAGGACTCTGTCGTCCAACTCCTGCGTCCCCGCTTGTCGATAGAACCATTTGACTAGCAAGTGTCTTCGTGTTTTGTATTCGGCTTCAAGACTGACGTTCTTCATTGGTGAGCCGGTTAGCGCAGGCGATGGTATTTCAAAAAAGATGCGAGGTCACGACCGTAATTTCTACGACTACAGAGCGGACCGAAACAAACGGGGGGGAAGCTAACGCAGGGACATCTTATTCAGAAGCACTTTCACGGTGACGCAAGCAGATGAGTCCAGTCGAACCAAGCCGATGCAACGAACTATTGTTGAGGGCCTGCAAAACATTGAACTCTCCAAGAACAGTGCGGTCACGTGTTGAATAGTGAATTTTGGTTGCGCTCCACGAGGACGAGACTGATCGAGGCAGTATCTCGGCCAATGACACGAGTATTCTTGCTGCCGCACGACCGTGGAGCACGTGCTCTCGTTCCCAACTGACGCCATCCGCGTGTTTTCTCGTCAGGGAGGCTCTTGTTCTTTACCTCCTCTCTGCCCCTACCCTCCCGCGTTCTGTTCCGTACTCGCACTTAACTCTATGATGCCACGGCCGCCTTGAGCGAGAGCTACACGACAAGAGCAGGACACCTGGGCACATGTGCTTGGTGCACGCCAAGAGGAAATACTATCCCGCCCGAAAATATCGCCATCTGCCCTTTTGCTCGTCATATGTATTGGCACAGTTTCTTCATCACCTGACCAGAAAGAAGCGATTCCCGTCCTTTTCGAAGTCCGTCTTCCGCATGTCCACACGTCGAACACGGACCTTTAGTCGAAACGCGAAGCCAGAGGGAAAAGCGCGTGAGGAAAACCATTATCTGCCCGAAGTACCCACTACTTGCGACAAGGTGAACACACAATGGCAGCAAGAGACTTCACACAACGACATCAGGATGGCCATTTAGTAGGCTTAGTTCCTCGCGTCTATAATATAGATATAACGTAATACGTCGACGCCGTCCTCGAGTTTACAAAGCGGAGAACTTGGTCTTCTAGAGGAAATTGTTCAAGGCTTTTGACGGAACATTGCCACGGGGTTGTCCGCGACATCTACAACAGTGACGTCGACAAAAGATCTGTAACGTCCCAACGGACCGTTGATTCTCACTGCCGCCGAGAGCGGGGGATCAATTTCAAGCCGCGAACCAACGTGGACTAAGATGACGACGACGTGAACGACAATGACCAAGCACGAGAGGCCTGCTCATCCCCGAGACCTCCTTCTCGCGTCTTCATGCACGCACGACTTATATCCTCCCTCCGCTGTCCTCCTCTGCGCGCCACCTTCTCTAGTGACTCTCCTCACCTGCGAGCCGATAGTCCTCTTATCAGGCAAGGTCCACAAGGGCTTCTCCGGGTCGTCCTCGGGGCCATAGTACACCAAAAAAACAGGCCCTGGCGAAACTATCGCGTAGGCGCTTCCAATCGTAGCAAGGTCATGGGGTGCAGCGTGGAGGCATGACAGCCGTGCAACGGTAGGGCATCCCAAAAAAGTTAGTTGGCACAAGTGTAGATATCAGATTGTACAATCCCTTTTTCATTTCGAACACACACACAAAGCAGAAAGCCGCACGGTGCCTTCGGCAAAACGCTGTTGTCCCTTGTACCTTTGCGAGGTGAGAGGTGAGGTCCAGTCCCTGCGAAGGACTGCTGTCGGGGCCCTGAGCTTTGATGGGGTCTACGATTACTCCCCCTCAAGCTCATTCTCACCTTACCCTCGAAAGCCAAGCCTCGCTAGTCAAGCCAAGCCTGACCAGCTCGGCACTTGCTCGCCTACGTAGAACGCAAGGAACTATACACAGTGGCGGAACAAGGCCACGCTGCACGAGCCGTTCGACTCCATTGAATAGAAGGGATCAATATTAGCGTTTGACGGCTCGGGCACGGACTGCAGTGCTTCGTTGAGGCTGGTGGATGCACGCAAATTCCATGGAATCGATTTCCTCAGCATGGCGGCGAAAAACTTAGCCGCCAAATCACCTTTGATTTGGTCGTTAGCAGCATGTCTAGCAAGCACCCTGGCAGCTTTGACGCACTAACCATGTACTGCCCCCGCAAGAAGGCACTGTATCATGTCGGGGAAAGGCCGAGCGCTCTTGGTGACTACGGCACGCTACCGAAGGCAATCTCTGTTCAGAAACAACGAGAGTCACACCATCATATCATGACACGAGCATCACAACAACACGTGTGCCATCCCACCTGGTCCATCCAAGTAAGTGTAGCCCCGCGTCAACGAAGTTAATGACGGGTTTATACGCCCCCTTCCACGCTCGTACCCAGAGTCGACCCTCCTGTGGCGAAAGCAATCGGTATCGCACGTAGTGAATGACATGAGCATTGCGGTCAAGTGTCAGTCGAGTAGACAGGAAAGTGCCCGGAAAGTTGGCGTTCACTTGGTGCGATTCAGGGAAAGGGACAAAGGACATGCGATGAAGCGAAATGCTCAACCGTGGGCCACCACAACCCCTGTACTCACAGGAGTCACACGTGGTAAAAGAGCGGAAAAGAAACAAAACGGCCGGCAGGAAGTCGTCCAAATCTAGTAACACGAACGGAGAAAACGCAAGAAACTTAGGGTAAGGACATCACCCAACAGGAGCAGCAGGGTTAACCGTTATACAGTTTGGATGGCACAGGGAAAAGTGAAGAAGGAAAGGATTCGCCCGCCATGTACCCCACCCGGCGCAGACCTACCTTGAGGACGCACTCTGGGCCATGATGTCGGCCATACGCACCGAGACCTCTCAGCGCCGGCTCAAGCTCCAAGAAGGATGACAACGCACGGTGCTCAAGGGCGGCACTAAACACACACACGTACAGGAGGGGTGAAACGCAAAATAGGGCCAAACGAGTTCCGTGCGGAGAATGATCTACGGTTAGGAAGTAACAGGAAGCAAACTAGGGGTGGCGCTCAGGAGCAGAGAAAATCCACCCGTCCTGTGGTTAATGTTTTTCCTCCGTTTTGCGGGCACTTGGGCTTGAAACGGATCGTGGCTTGAGGCTCTACTGCAACCTAAATTGCTTCAGTTGTATCGGCAAAAACGTACCCTTGACGAGGAGATGCAGTGACGCTCCGGTGTTGGTGCAACGGATCACGCAACCCACACACGGTGCGATCTCGAGAATGCGCCGCTACCGACCAGCAAAAATGGAGCAACGACCAATGCATTTTGATATTATGTTTCGCGATCGGTGGCCGAATATATTTTATGTACAAGGCGTCCCTCCGGAGTGGGATAAAGAGAGCACGGCAGCAAAGGGGTGATGCAAGAACATGGGAAAAGCTACCAGCAGAGAAACGACAGCAGTAAATAAATACGTACGCATAGATAGCTTCGTATCAAAGGATTCGCGGCAGGTCGGCGCGAGCTCATAACATTTTCAACGGTTTTCTGGATTTAGTTTGGTTGAAAGCCCGCAGACGCGCGGATGGATGTATGTGTAAATGTGCATGCCGACCTCCCAACCTCTGACTCGGCAGTCTGCACGGAGATGTGTGCACTGCTCTGCATCTCTGCTGACACCGCCACGAGCTTTTTCATCGATACTCTAAAGACTCTAGAGATCCTTCTGGAGGATTTTGGCTGCAAAAAGAAGTAGTTTCTGGATATTTTGGGTTGAAGCCCGCAGCCGATCGGATGGATATGTGAAAATATGTGCATTGCATGTGCCGGCGTGCCGGCCTCCTGACGTCGGGCTCGACAGTGTGCACGAGATGTGTGCATTGCTCAGCATCTCTGCTGATACTACCACGACATATACATTGCTCTACTGCTGCTGGAAACTACGAACTTGGGGCTGACCCTGTGTGTAGTTCATTCAGCAGTCGGACTCAATCATGGCCTCATCGCCATCATCAGCAGAAGAAGGACGATTTGATTGAGCGGCGTCATCAAGCCGTGTTTTTCTGTTTTTATCCACGCACACACAACCACCCACCTTCGGAAAGGGCAACGAAGAACAAACTATGTATACATGTGGGTTTCCAGCGTGCAGTATCAGGTAGTGACCGTAGCATCGTGATGTCTCGAGAATCCGGTGGGGATGAGGCGAGATGAGACAGACATCAGTCCAGAACATCTCCAGATATGACAGATATGACAGACCCGAACAGCAAAAAAGAAAAAACGAGCTGAAATTGCTTCGGTGTGTACCGCCTTTCTGCATGTACGCTGGGAACCCTACTGCTGCTGTATTCTCTTTTCCCCACACGTATACATACACGCTCCCTCCACAGCCGCTCTCAGATCTGACAGCTGCCGGGCCAACGCTCCGCTGATGTTGTTGGTATGTTGTGTTGACACAGGGTTCAACATCAGATCAGAAACAGCTTGTCACCGCGTACGTTTTTGGTTGAAGCTGGCGTCTTCTGCCGGGCTGTCGTCGACACGACAGCCCGACTCTACCCGACAGCTGACGCGACAGATGGACAGAATCAGTGCGTGGTCTTCTTACAGCCACAGGAAAAATAATTCTGGAGACTGTGAGGAAGACTTTACCAATCTATATATAGTCTTATGTGCACCATTTTGCCTGTTTTCGTGCTTCGTGACATACTTCGCTGGCGGAAGCGAGTCTATTCTCGCGCTTCCTTCTCAGGGGCACGCAGGGGGATCGTCGGTACACTACTCCGCACGCCCGAGGACCGCTAGCCACCCGTGGCGCTTGTGCTTGACGTCTTAAGTTGAAAAACTGGCTCTATACCCCGGGGACGTATACGCGCGAACAAAGCCTTCGCAACAAAAAATAAAAAAAGCTGCATTTGCTTTGATTCCTGCGCAACGCACACAAGTCCTAAAGACTGGGCAACCAGAATAAACAAGAATGAGAGATCAAACGCAGCGGATTACAGCAGTAGCACTGCAGCAAAGACGTCACTACTACCCTAAAAGCACACACTCTCGCACACGCGAAACGTCATGGCGAGGAAAACAAATACCCCGTACATTATGTCAAATTCCAGGCAAGTTTTGGAGGTAGCCCTATTCACGCTAGTTCTTGAAGGCTCCAGTGCCGGACACATGATTCATTGCTGGTGGTCCGATGGCTGTGTGTTGTTTGTGCAGATGCACTTCATATGATTCGAGTGTTGTTGACAAGTGGAGCTGGTTGCGCAGAGGCTTGATGACGAAAACCACCTGCTTCATGGTCACTGATTGGGTATTTTGAAATGGAATGACTACATTCGGCAAACGACCACAGACACGTCTGACTGTATGTTGTATGTTCGTTTTCGATAGCATTGAACGAAAGAGTCAACATGCCCACCGCCGCACTTTCTTCGTGTTGTACTCGGCACGGACCTGCACGTGACGAGGCGATCCAGGTACACTTTGAGCAGCTTGAGACGCTTCGCGATCACTCCTCCGTGCCTCCCCCCAAACACCTGTTGTCGCCACCGCCGGGACAGAAAACGTCGGTTGCTGGATGCGATTGCACGTGATCTGTCGTTCTCCCAATGGCAACAGAGTCGACGTCACGTAGCAGTGCCGCGTGCACACCTCAGGTGCAAACGAACATTCCGCTGGGGTAGGTAGATCCTGACCATCACTGCTCCCGGTTGCCGAGGTTATATCCCTAATCCGACCACTACCCAACACCCACAAACAACAATCATTCCAAGGAATGCAATCAGGGCATTTTAACGGCTGAAATACGAGTCGCACCTCTTTCGGAGGCAGCACGTACGCGTTCGCATCCGGTTCTCTGGAAAGTACAGGCAGCAGCCCTCGATGCAAGGCTTCGAACTGCCGAAACCGGCGCAGTACCATCCATTGCTCCCCTATTGCTCGATCTGTAACCTGCGTCAACGCGAAATATTGCAGGCATCGGACGAAGAGGGTCGTGTTCGGCGTGTTGCGGAGGGTGTACTCATAGCCGTGCATGCCGTAGTGACCGTTGACCTCGCATACCTATAAAGCCGGGCGTCGGAGCACCCCGAGTTCTCACCAGACCAGGCTCTCATATCACCAAGCGTGAAGCGTCGTGAGGTATTTGGCGGGTCGCATTGAGGTGTGCCGCATCCTGCTAAGGGTGTTCGGCATCTTGTGCGTACTTCCTTGCATCTTGATAACAGCCGCGAATGACTTCATTCATGTATTTATTTTCTGGTGGCTCCACTTCCAGAGACAGTTACAAGCACTGTGAAACTGCTTCGAGGGTTGCTTGACCAATTTATGCGATCATCCCCTTCGCGCGGAGTAACGGTTCTCGACCCCGCACAACATGATCTATGTGACCACCATGATGGTTACCGCAAACTAAACAGAAGGGGGGAAAAAAGCGGCAACTGGTTGTCGAGCTCACGAAGCGATCGGCGTGTTTTTGCAACGTCGTTGCCAAGCGACGAACACCCACGTTGCGGGGGGGGGGGGGGCGGGTATTGTGACAAGATGAACCTGAATGAAATACCTTGTCCTTGACAACTTCTGTCTGTCGCCGCTGGGGCACCGTACTAGGCCGCTTGAGACAAAGAGGTTAGAACGCTCAACAGCACGAAAGAGGGAGATACGACCAGCTTCCTGTTCACGTGTGCATACTGTTTAAAGTGGAAGGCGCGAATGAGTGCTTGGCATGTGTTGACGGTTCCCCCAGGGACCAAGGGCGGGAACGGCAAATGGCAGAACAAAACCGTGATTTAGTACCAACGGGAGTTTGGCCAAGCAGGCTCATACTTTCCAGCAAATGTACGGTCGTTACATGTTGTTGAGCGTCTCCTCGAAACTGAAGGTATCAACCGCGTACAATCGACGCACGCCAACCTGGGACTCGACCGCCCCAACACCGGTGCATCAACACCAATTGCGCCTCCGACTCCATGGGCACTCGACGTGAGCGACGCTTCGCACTCCTTTTTACTTCACCTGTATGCTATACACCGTGTGGCCTCCGAGTCCCTTGCCGAGCTCTTGAGCTCCCTCGAGCGACACTTGTAACCGGGCATCTTCTTCTCCGGACACTGGTAGCTCCCCGCCACCACCACCTTGACGTGTGCTAAAATGGTCGTCCCCAACGCCACCGTCACCGTAGTAGCCATCTGATGGCATGTCGTGGGTGTCTGTTGTGGCAGATCTGCCCCGCCTAACTCCCGGCAACAGAGAGGGCCACCGAATACCCAAAAACCGCCTCGAAGTGGTGGTGGTGTACTCCGTGGTGGACTGCTGCCGTTGCTGCCTGTCTAATTCGGAGCCACTCCTCATCAAAGAAGATGTCGGGTGGCTGTTGTTGCGGTTGTTTGAAAATCTCTCCGCTGTTGACCGTGCTGCTGCTGATGCTGAACCCCATCTCCACCTCTTTTCTCGCCGATATTCTTGCCCTCTCAGCGCAGGCCGATCTATCCCCGCCGCCGTAAGCTGTTGCTCATACTGGGAAGGGGGTACCGGTCCGTAGGCCAACGTTGGCTGCGTGGTAATCACGCCCTTCTCCGATTGCAGGGCTTCCTGCTGCTGCTGCTGCTGCTGCTGCTGCTGCTGCTGCTGCTGCAACCAACTCCAGTGCTCCCCTAGGCTACCTCTATCCATGGGAGGGGCCGTATTGCCTTCCGGTAGGACGGGCGACCAAAAAGTGTCCGTTGCTGACCCTCCTGCAACCACCCAGCCTCCCCCCGCCTCTCTACTGCTCCCGCTTACAAGAAGGGACCTGCTGCTACCGGAAATCCTCGCAATGCTGGACGTCAAAGTCGAAGGAGGAGAAAGTGGGGTAGGCGAGGGGGACGGGGTTGCCCTCCCTTCCCACAGAGCTCGAGAAGGGTGATGGTGGTGGCTAGTATCCTCTACTAGCCCTAGTCCCGGCACTACCATGCTCGAAGAAAACCCGTCCCTCGTTGATGCTGATGATACCGAGGAGGCCATCGCCACTGGCGGTCGTGAACCCGCTGGTGTTTCGAACGGAAAGAGCAACAGCAGTTCAACCAAGAAGAAATGGTACGTGAGAACAAGGTGCTGAGCGTGGTCTGCACGTGTTGGTGCAACAATCGCTGGCGGTAGTACACATTACTCTTACTAATGCCAATGCAAAAGTTAATCCTCCCGGCTTTCCTTGGAACGCGCTCTCTCTCTACATCCTCCCTAGGTGTAGGCGAGACGTTTGGATGCACACGTCAGAGAACAAGTAGATCCTGTTGGCACTTGTCGGCGATGCTCGCCTTCCAGAAGCCTAGGAGGCTGGGCTGCGCCAAAAACCTTCCGAACCGGGCAGGTGACGTTCCTCAGGGCAAATCGACAATATGGTTGCCCAACAGCTGTTGCCCAACGTTGCCAGGTGCCGTCAGGTAGAGCTCGTCAAGAGGGCACTTCTACTGTGCTATAATGTCAGCAACAGGGTGTTTCCCCTCATATTCCGAATGCGATATTTCATTTCTACTAGAAGTAACCTTGAATCCGCCACCGGGAGGCGTTGTACAACAGCGATATTGCGGAACTCCATGCTACTGGCTGTATACGTCAAATGGTTGTGCCACGCTTGCACCCGAGCGGGGGGTGATATTCCACGGTGTTTTCTCTGCCATCTTTAATTTCAAACACGAAAATTTCAAACAATGGGTACCTGTTGCGGGCTGTCATCTATTGGCCATGGAAGGCATTCGTGCCAGTTGGTTAACAGTACGGGCGTAAGAAAGGTCAAGTCAGCAGAGATCGGAACCGGTTACAGGTTTTGCTGCTTCAATAAAACATCCTGGATTCAATTTATTAGGTTGTTCATTTGGACGAGGACACTCTCAGGAAGACAAGAAACAACACTATATTCAAAAAATACTTGTAGTTCTGCATGAAATACCCAGCGGCGCTACAATCACACACAGCATGCGTATGAATCCGCCATCTGACTACATACATGATGCTGCACAAGTGGTGGACGAATAATAACGTCGCGCAAGGTCTGTTACAATAGTTGTTGGCCCCTGCTCCGACCAGTGGAGGCACCTATCTCACACTGCAAAGGCTACAGACACTAGATGGGGATCTAGACTAAACTACCGTAAGGATGCGGGTCAGCGCACGGTCCGGAGTTTCCGCACGGTCCGGAGTCATCGCACAGGGGTGCGATGAAAATTAAATGGCATAATTATTTAATTCGATTTCCGCACAGGGTCCGGAGTTACCGCACAGGGGTGCGATGACTCGCAACCTACAGTAGGGTAGTAGTTGAGTGCCAGCGATTTCGGGGCAACTTTCACCCCTGCAACCATGCCAGTGCTGGCATGTAGCTCTGCTGTATGGGTAGGTAGGTCATCGTCGCACACCACACGTGGAGATGTGAAGGAAATGAAACACATTGGTATTTCCATTGGATCGGTAAACTTGAACATTGTCCATTCAACCAAAACACGAGAACAAAAACAGCAGCCATCACTAAGTACCATGGAACAGCACCATGGAACAGCAGCACTGTTGTACATATGTTCTACTTCTTCTTTCGCTACAAAACAAATTTCAACCCCGTCACTACCAGAAACACCTAACAGCGCCAACCTCCGTACTACTGGGATGTACACACAAGAATGTTCGGGCAGCCAACCTGTCACTTGGTGTGTGTGTGCGCTTTCTCGAAAATCTAGCATCCATCGGGCAAACTGCTGTGGTTGGTTGACATGCGCGTGTGCTTGTACGTTGCGTGTGGAGCCTGCAACCGCAGCACAACTGAGGTGTCCGTGCGTCTGCAAAGGTATTTCTTTCAAGTACCGCACACACCGGAGTTATCGCACAGGGGTGTGCGTTGAAAATTCTTGACAATATCGCCTCCAGGGTTTACTCAGGACCGCACATACTGGAGTCATCGCACAGGGGTGTGCGTCATGCATCCAAACCAAATGATTTAATTCAATTTCCGCACAGGGTGTGGAGTCATCGCACGGTCCGTAGTCATCGCACAGGGGTTTTGAGTCTTCAGGCGTTCTGACTGACCATTGATTGATCATTAGCAAATGCTGGTATAGTGGCAAGTCGTGGAGTTGCCGCCCTGCAGCCCTTCGCGCCGTGTATTGGCAAGTCCATAGGTAGGTGTGTGCCTAGATTACTAGTACCCGCGCTAACCTGCTGACCAATGAAAAGACGTCAGTGACAGCGACCAATATCAAGGTCTCGGGAATGGGGCACTCAATGACAAATCATGAATCTCTCAACGTATGTGCATGAACGTGTGTGTGTGCATACATACATACATACATATATACATACATACATACATACATACATACATATGTGTTCTTTCGCAGCACCACACACACACTCGCCCGAACGTAGGAAGGCACTGCTGCAAAGAGCAGAGGGCAGCAAAAGGGAGGGGTATAGCCCTGCCGAAGCCGAGATATCGAGGATATCGTGGTTGCTGCATCTCCCAACAATTTGAAAATCGTTCCCAAGATCCAGCAGTCATATGGTGTCAGCAGCTACAACGAACGCTACAACAACTACTACTGCTGTAGACGAGTAACACATATCAGCAACACATCCACACTCGTAGCGCCACACATACCCTCGCCCGAACCTAGGAAACCACGAGGTACAGAAGTGTGCTGGTGGATGTGCTTGTTGTTTGAAAAACACAGGAGCTCTAGAGAGCTGGCAGGGCACATTTCGGGGGGGGGGCAGAGAACAAAGAAGTACAGAAGAGGCAATTTTTGATGTCGGGTCTTCTCTGTGGTTCCGTGACGTTTTTCGACATTTCCGTCGGTAAAAGTGACGAAAAAAAGTGACGGAAAAAGTGACGCTACTTGTACTCTGCAGATTGCGGCCTGTACTATCACTACACGGCCTCACACTACTGATGAACAGCCTCAAGACCAACAGAGGAGTAGGAGAGGGAGTGCTGAGTGTGTGTGGAGTTACCCAGCAGAGCCAGAGGTCGCTGATGAGAAGTTGTGTATAATAAGAACCAGGGAAAAAGCTCTCGAATCCAACAATCTTCTTCTTATGCATGTGTCACATCAACGTACACAGATACAGCGGTGCTGTACCGATGCAGCCATGTTTTACCGATCGCTGATGAAACCACAAGCAAGAAGAAGAGCTCTCGTGAGGTTTATTCCTCGCAACGTGTGTGGTTTTTGGGATTCATCGCTGTGCTGTGACGGACGGCAGCTGCTGCTGCTGCTGCTGCTGCTGCTGGTTCTGCCGTTGTTACTTTTTCCATTGGATGATTTTTCACCGGGGCGGCTCCGACTACAATATCTGCTCTAACAAACGCAAGGAAATCGCGCGTGCGTGTAGGAAATTACCTCCTCCCTCTCTCTCCCTGGCTGCGGCCGGCTGTTGCCGCTGATGAGTGCAGCTACTACTACCCTCTGCGGAATCCTACAGCAGCAAGCAGCAGTCATTCAAAGATTTTGTTGGCCAACGACAGCGGCAGCGTGGTAGAAAGACCCTACAAACAGCGGACGTCTCTCAGAAATGCAAGTTTCAAGATAGTACAACTCGTCCACCTCCTCGGGCAACTCCTGCAAGAAACGGCGTGTGAAATGCTGCCGTTGCCATGAAGAAATCGCGCCAAAGCTTTGGAGTTTTTTCTTTCATTTTTTTTTTTTTTTTCAGGCGCCGACGTTAAAAAATTGCCTACAGAAGTACAAATACCAGCTATGGGTCGACACTGATCATTTTACCCTCTCTGGACTGATCATTTACAACACACCGAAAATAGACTAGTTGAGGCAGCTAGATAACTGATCATTTCAAAGTCTACACAGCTAACCTGCCCTACTGACCGCAGCGCGACCACCCATCAACCCTCCTACGACCCTGTCTGCGGCCACCACCCTGTCGCCGGCTTCCCTCATGGCCTTCAGGTGGAGATAGCTGTTGCGTGTGCAGAAGTACGCTGGTGTCTTTCTCTGCACTTCTCTCCGCTCGCTCTCGCTCTCATAATTTTTTTTTTGGCGCAAAAAAATAATTCCGACAGTCCAGTAGACCCAAAGTTAAATGGCGAAAATGTTAAAAAAAACGACCGCACGGGGGTGCGCTGACCCGCAACCTTACGGTACACTGCTGTATCGCTGTGCTTTCACCAACAAGGTGATTGGTAGTACTTGTATACGTGTTGTACTATGTACTGCTGTAAGTACTTCCTAGAGTGTGCCGGGGTGGAGCATAGCATATGCATGCATAAGTACACGTCGGAGACCAGGACTCCTGCTGTAGGTAATCTCACGCACATCAGAAACGGAAGTCGAATGTCCGCTTCCGTTGCGAATCTGCAACGGGATCTGTACATACATTCAGCCTGAGACACGGAAAAAGCGGCCGGGGGTTGCCAAATGCTTACTCTTGCAGTTTACAATACAACAGGAGGGCCTTCGTAGAGTGTTTACTTGTGTACCTGCCCGCGGCTGCAGCGGCCTGCAGCGGCCAAAGAGGCTGTTGAATCAGCAGCACACCGCAAGGCACAGCAGTTACTTGTTGGCCGCATTTTGGGTGAAGCATGCACGCATGATGTCCTACTTGAAAGCTCACCACGGCCACCCGCTACATCCGCGCTATCAGCACTCGCCACGGAGACGCTCAAATCCCTGTCAGGAGACGGGGCAAGCCCCAGCATCGCGCGGGCACTCGCTGATGATGTTCTCGTCGGCTGCTTCTTCTTCTCCATGTTCTGCCAAATAGAATTCGAACTGCAGTGTGAACGTGTGCACGACTGGTTCGTTGTACAACAGAAAAACGTCTGGGTGTGCTGTGTGCCGGTAATCGGGGCTCTCCGTCCCACTTTGCGGCAGTTGCCCCCTGTCTGTGTCCAACTGCAATACAGAGGCTATCGATTGAATTACTTCGGCGCAACGGCGCAAATGTCCGCGGACGGGGGGGAGTAGATTCTCAGCTCCGTGCCCCCCAGCCACGCGGCAAAGGCACACACACAACAGCAAGGCACCGCCCTCCGCTGGGCAAGCAAAGCAGAAGGGCGAGATGACGCTGCCAGCTACCAGCAGCAGCATGCTTTCCTTCATAGCGCCCGGGACGCTGCCATCCATACCAGCCTCGCACGCCACACATCCGCACCAACATTCGTCAGTGGCTTGGGTGGGTTGCGCGTTCTACGTGGCTGGAACGAGAAGCACGGGCAGCAGCAGCAGCAGTAGCCGCCGTCAAAGCCGAAGCCGTCCTCGTAGTTGCTCACCTCTGGTAGTAGGAAGTGATGGCGGCAGCAGAGCCTGCGGAGGCGACGTAGGTTTGATCGCTGCAACGGCAAGCCGCTGGGGGGACGATGGCGACGAGCTCGATGGTGGCAATGGTGGAAATGGTGGCAAGGACCGCAGGCGACAGGGGGAACGGAGGAAGCCATTGCGGGCGCCATGGGAAGACATTCAGTGGAGTAATCCAAGCAATCCAAGCAGCAGGAGAGCAGCCCGAGGTGGTGAGAGGCTTGCATGGAAAGATGTTGACGACGAGGAGGAAGAGGAAGAGATGCTGGGGCTAGAAGATGGGTCAAGGGGCATGGTGCAGCCCAGGGAATACACACGGTGAGAGGGTCCTCAAAGCCTCCCTCCGTTCAGCAGTCTCGCCTTTGCCTGTAGACTCTGTAGGCACCCAAACCTTGCGTCTCTCACCTTCTTATTATTTATTACCTATCCCTCTGGACGTGATGCCCTACTAGCAACACTGGCGTTGGACGCTTGATTTTCGCTCCTGTCTTTAACACCAAGCATAAACCTCCTGGAAGCCCAGACGGGGACATTTCGGGGACACAGCACTCAAAACTCAAATGCCCGTCTACCGCACCGCAGTGGCCGTCACGTACGCTGTTTGATACACTGCTGCTGTGTGATGCCTGTGTGCCTCTCTTGGCCTCTGACTTGCTGTACAAAATCACCCCCAAGCCGCGGCTCCCCTTGTTGGTAAAGCTTGGTAAAGCTGTACGTGCATGTACATCGCCTACATGGAAAAAATGTCGACTTGACTTCAGTTAGAAAAATGTCGACCACACTGAAGCCAAGTCAGCCTTCGGCCCTCGGAACCAGCTCCTCGGAACTGTACAGCCTCTCCCAATGAGCGGACTCGATATTTTTCTGGGCCCATAAACTAATAAATGTGACCACTGCTGCAACTGGGTACTATGCATAGGAGGGTTAACAGAAATAATCCTCTTAACCGTGGAGCCAATGAAAAGGCAGTTTTATAGCGGATGCCTTGCCTAGACTTTCCATACGAAGATGATCATGATGGAGGACATGAAATATGTGTTGAACGCTGCATGAACACTTTGTGGTGCTTGCTCGGCACAACTGAATACTTCGGCACTTTAGACTACATATATAAGATTTGTAAAGTCTTCCTCACAGTCTCCAGAATTATTTTTCCTGTGGCTGTAAGAAGACCACGCACTGATTCTGTCCATCTGTCGCGTCAGCTGTCGGGTAGAGTCGGGCTGTCGTGTCGAACAGCCGGCAGAAGACGTCAGCTTCAACCAAAAACGTACGCGTTAAGCGGTGACAAGCTGTTTCTGATCTGATGTTGAACCCTGTGTCAACACCACATGCCAACGACATCAGCGGAGCGTTGGCGCGGCAGCTGTCAGATCTGAGAGCGACTGTGGAGCGAGCGTGTATGTTACGTGTGGGGAAAAGAGAATACAGCAGCAGTAGCGTTCCCAGCGTACATGCAGAAAGGCGGTACAAACCGAAGCAATTCCAACTCGTTTTCTTTTCTTTTTTTCTGTTCAGGTCTGTCATATCTGGAGATGTTCTGGACTGCTGTCTGTCTCATCCCTCCTCATCCCCACCGGATTCTCGAGACATCACGATGCCACGGTCACTACCTGATACTGTTCGCACGCTGGAAACCCACATGTATTCATAGTTTGTTCTTCGTTGCCCTTTCGAGGGTGGGTGTGTGTGTGTGCGTGGATAAAAACGGAGAAACACGGCTTGATGACGCCGCTCAATCAATTCGTCGTTCTTCTGATGATGATGGCGATGAGGCCATGATTGAGTCCGACTGCTGAATGAACTACACGCAGTCAGCCCCAAGTTCGTAGTTTCCAGCAGCAGTAGAGCAATGTATATGCCGTGGCAGTGTCAGCAGAGATGCTGAGCAGTGCACACATCTCCGTGCAGACCGCCGAGCCCGACGTCAGGAGGCCGGCACGCCGGCATATGCAATGCACACATATTCACATCCATCCGATCGGCTGCGGGCTTTCAACCCAAAATATCCAGAAACTACTTAATTTTGCAACAAAAAACCTCCAAAATGATCTCTATAGAGTATCGATGAAAAAGCTCGTGGCGGTGTCAGCAGAGATGCAGAGCAGTGCACACATCTCCGTGCAGACTGCCGAGCCAGAGGTCGGGAGGTCGGCATGCACATATACTCATCCATCCGCGTGACTGCGGGCTTTCAACCAAACAAAACCCAGAAAACCGTCGAAAATATTATGAGCTCGCGCCGACCTGCCGCGAATCCTTTGATACGAATCTATGCGTACGTATTTACTGCTATCGTTTCTCTGCTGGTAGCGTTTTGCATGTGTACTTGCATCACTCCTTGCCGCGGTGCTCTCTTTACCCCAATCCGGAGGGACGCCTTGTATACTTCTACAAACACGAAATCAGGAGCATAAAAACAACCCTGCCTGAGAAAAAAATGAAGCAGATTTCTAATATGTCTGATACAGGCCTCGTACATACGTACTTTGTACATACCGGTACTAGATAGGGCGGGGTAATGAGCAGCTGGGTTGCGACTCAATGCCTTGCAGTAGTCTTATCTGCGATGCTGATGGTGCACGAATCCCGACACGCAGCAGCGTGAATCGTTTGTGGTGCAGCTACGTGTGCACCGGAGGGACAGGCTGCAGGGGTGCGACGGCGCGACGATGGTTGTATGTGCGGCCCCGTTCAAAAAATTGCACTTTACTTGCGGTTGTTTCTTGTCCGTTGATGCACATGCACACACCCACGAAGAAACAAAATGTGAAGTCTTCCCGCTGTGCGGACGCAAACACGCACATCAGGGCATCTGGAAGAGGCACGCATGCGGCATGCACCTGGCGGCGAGCGTATCACACATCACGCCGTCGAGGAGCACGACCAGCAGCGTAGACATACGATTGTGGCAAGACAGATGACAAATATTGCGTCAGGCTCACAACTTGCTCGCCATATTCGTCAAGTGAAAGCAAGCAGTCTACATATTGTATCATACATCACGGGACATTACTACATACATGCAGCACCGAAAACAACAAAGCCGTTGATGGTCATGACTTTGATGCGAGCAGCAACACCAGCAGGCAGGGCACACGGATTTGCGAAGACAGTCAGTAGCGCGGCGCAAGTACGCAACCTGAACCGGTCCCGCGGGGAACCATCCTGATGACGCGCAGCAGCAGTAGCCCCTCACGCCCTCGACGGATTCTCGCGATGGTAGGTGCGATCTCTGGACTTGGGAAGGTGTGTTATGTTGTGTGCTGTTTGTTCGTTTGTGAAAATCGGTCTGCTGTTGTTTGGGAGCAGTCGGTTGCACCACTTAACATCAACAAACACCCGCCAGGTTACACATGGTTACACATGGCGCATGACTATACCCACGGCGCACAGGTCGTATAGGCTCGGCCCCTCCTGGTTTTCATAGATAGCTGGTCTCGGACCAGCGTCCTGTTGTTCTCCTTCTGCTGATATGGTGTTGTCCTCCCGGGGTTTGAACTCTACCGCGTGTCTGTGTGTGCGTGCAATCTCCGATAGCTTGGGCATTTTACCTCTCCACAACTCCTGGGCATCCGGGGACGCGATCTCCTACGAATTTGGGTCACATATGCCTGTGGGTCACATATGCCTGTGAAGCACGGCCATCTCTTGCCGAAGCACGACCGACCCGGCTTGACGAAGAGCGCGTAATTTTGCTTCTTCCTCAGAATTGAACAGATCGTCAAACGGTGCCCTATAGGTCTCGTTCTGGTCCGAAAGGTGCGATAAATATGCGTCACGGAAATCAGCACTTTGGGCCCCTGCAACACGCGGCGGAACTCAGGCCGGTGTTTAGAGCCTTTTTTGTCCTCCTGGGAGATGAAGGGAAAAAAGGTCGCGCTTCGCGCTCCGCGGCTCATTATCAGGGTGTTTAGTCTCAGATGAATCAAAAGACGAGCTGGACCAGTTTGAACAAAGCAGAAACGGGCAACTACTCGGGGGCAGCGGTCGTGCGTCCGCCATTGTACTCGGGAGTAGCAGAATAGTCTTAAGATAGTCTTAAGATAGGATAGTTGTCGCTACAACGAGCGACAGCTGATAGATGTAACTGTCGTCTAACGTGTGCATCCACGGGCGAAAGTAAGTGCGTACTGAGAGGCAAATTCCTACGTATCGACCCCCCAAATAATAACCGAATCGATCAATGAAAAAATTCCCCGATCGACCAATAAAAAATCGCCGCAAAAAACTTTTCCTGTCGCTGCACGCCTTGCGTGACACACAACTGGTCAAATTGGCTTTGCTCACCACAGAGCGGTAGTACAAGCACCAAAATAAGCACCAACACAGAGGACAGCACATTTGTAAAGACCCTGTCCACCCGGCCTGCTGTTTTCAGCACTGGGGGCAGGGAGCAGTGTGTCACAAACTGGGTGTCGCCTGCGATTTCCTCGAGGCCTTCCGCTCATTTTTCCCGTGGTGCCATAATTTTTACCGCTCCCAGTCGAGAGGTACATCGACGAACTCAACAATCATAGAGAGGCGGCGGCGCTGAGGGTCCGTATCATATACATGACCAATCCGAAAGAATTAGAGTGTCGGAGGCCCTATTGCTCTACTGCTGCGTGGTGCCGTGGGTTTGGGGGGCTGTGTCCGACCCAAAACAGGCCATCATCTCACCGCATTTTTCAAACGGCAGTTTGGCGAGGTTGTACACATCTCTCACACGACACCTTCTAGAGCAGCACCCAAGCCCCAATACCCACGAAGCAGCACAGCGCCGGGAGTGAGGATGATATAGACAGCCGAACAGAAGGGATCAGCGCGTTGGAGGCCTTGGGGCTGCTGCCGTCCTCATTCTACTGTTTTCGTGTTTGTCATGGGTGGTACAAAATATTCCCGCGCGTCAACAGCAGCAGCAGCCGAAGACGAAGAGACCATGCAATGTCTCGATTTGGACAAACAACGACCTGAACGCGGCTTTTACCGCTATTCTATCCGCTGTACATGTGTCGCTGTGCCCGCTGGGCGTGTGTTCTGCAGCTGCAATCTGCTGTGTGCTCCGAAAAAAACAGAAATGTGCTGACCCCCTTTATATTCAAGTGATGTATGCATATAGTCTAAAACCTAGATAAAGCACGTACAGACACGCAAGAGTTTTTTGGATTTCAGCGAGCCCTTGCAACTCGGGGGGCCGGCAGTCCAGATTAGAAATCTCGCTTTGCTCGAATTATTGTTGAGGATACCACCGAGCAAGAAGTGCGGCATGCACAATGCCATGTTTGTAGGGCTAAGGTAGCGTGGATGAGCGAACACGGGTCGAGGAAAGCAGAACAGACATACACGACTTCCATGTAACGTGACACAATGGTAGGAGAGAGTTCGAAGGCTGGCGCACAGACAGCTAGCTAGGTCGCAGACAGGGTGCATCTCGTCGTTCAGACCCTGCATTGGTGCGTCGTGAAGTCTGGCGGGGCTGGTGTGTGATGAGGGACACTCAAGCAACGGCTGTGCCCACTGCCCAGGGCATGGTATCTACGTTATTGGGTGTGTACAGTGCGCGGCTTTTCCTCCGTCGAGGGTCCGTTAAAGAGAGGACGACTGGTCATGGCAACTTCTCTCTCGTATCGGCCAGAGGCGTGACGAGCCAGATTTGCTCTCATGAACCCGTTTCTCTTAAATATCCTCGCTTAAACCGTAGCCGCCACTGGGCACGTATTGTTGGATGAACCTAAAATGGGATTCCGCGAACAGAACTGCGTCGTTTTTCGTAATTTTGCCAAACCCAAATGCCTAATCGAGGTTCAGCAACGCCAAATGCCACTGAATCGCTAATCGCTTCCGCGAGGTGACGTGGTCATCAAACAGGTAGAGCAATAGACCATGTGCACCACGCGGGAGCTATAATAATATTTCAGCACATACCTGCAGCTAACACATCAGTAGGTCGTGCCAGTGGCCCAAGCCTCTATTTGGGCGAAAAATTGGATGCTTTACAAGGGGGCCTCACGTGAAAGAACTGGGCTCAGCCACGTCCAATCTTGGGAGGGGATGAAACAATGTTGACCATCGCTAAATTTGGGGCATATATTGTCGTCTGGTTGTTGTTTTTTTCCATAGGCACGAACACCTGTGCGGTTGTAATGGTGCAATAGAGCAACAGAGCAATAGAGCAATAGAGCAACAGAGCAATAGAGCAATAGAGCAATAGAGCAACAGAGCAATAGAGCAATAGAGCAATAGAGCAACAGAGCAATAGAGCAATAGAGCAATAGAGCAACAGAGCAACAGAGCAATAGAGCAATAGAGCAACAGAGCAATAGAGCAATAGAGCAATAGAGCAACAGAGCAATAGAGCAATAGAGCAATAGAGCAGTTCCAAGTACAGCGGTGACGGCGAGTTGCTCTGGAGTCTAGATCGACGTGAAGGTCTCAATGCCTCCAGTGCTTGAAATGCTATGCTTACCAACTCCTGGAGGAAGCGCTGACAGCTGTAGATGCTGTGTAGAGGGGAGAAGCTCGTCCCGCGTTCGCGGGCATAGCCTGGGCTCCACACATAACGCATCGGACAACCGATATGGCTGGTACCTTCCCAAGATTATTTGTGAGTACACCAGCACCGGTGTGTCGTGATGTTCACGTTGTCTGTCCCACGGTCGCATCTACTCTTGATTGACTTTTGAACGTTGGACAGGGGCTACGATGACGCCGACTTTGACACCCGACCGCGGCGTCGAAGATCGAGAGACGGCATCGACGCCGAGCCCGTCCCGACGGGCTGGGACACGGCGCAGTGGTTCAGCGGGGCGCAGGAGGCAAATCAGGGTGGGCTTTATGAGTGGGCGAGAAGGTGCGTGTAGGCTCGTTGTGTTGAACATGAACATGTAAAGGGTGGTGTTTTGTCGCATGAGCGTAACTTGTACACGCGTACGCACGCCACTCAAGGGACGCAAGCAGCCACCGACAAGAAGAACACAAGGTCCGGTGGGAGGGCGTATCCGGGAGGCATACAACATTTGCCAAGGAAACGCCGTTGCGCCAAGATCAGTCCTGCCGCTACTACTGCTCGACATGAACCGGGTGCTGTAGCGAGTGGCGTTGGTCGGAGAACACTCAACGTTGTGTAAACTAACATACACGTGTCGGCGACGTCTGTGCCCCCTCCCCATCGTTATCCACCCCAACCGTCCAACCGTCCAGTTTTTACAACACTCTTTTCTGGTACGGAGGAGCGTCGTCCGAGGACGAGGATGAGCTGCCTGCGATGAACTTCCAGGACCTGTTGGAGCGCTTCGACCTGCCTGCCGGCGAACAGTCGTCGACAAGACCGCGGGTGAGAGAGGGTCACCATCGCGCACCTACTGGGTGCAGCGGTAAAGTACAATTGCGGCTATTATAATATTATAGTATTGTAGTATTTTAGTATTTTAGTAGTAGCACGTCACAAGGAAGGGGTGAAACGAATCCTGGGTGTGTTACTTTCTTGCTGTGCGACCGGGGCGCTTGCGTTCGAAAAGGTGTAGACTAGATCAACGCGTCCAGATCAGTTGGATGACACTCACCCACACAGTATTCAGTACAGGCCGACACTGATTTGTTTTGATTGGTCAGCCGATTAGCGCGCTGGGTGATATTCGAGCATGAGGCACACTATTCGGTTTTTCCTCAGCTAGACCCCGCCGCCCCCGCCCCTTGGCCCTTCGACGTACCTGAATCCTGTCCTATGGGCTGCAACCTGCAACCTGAAGCCGATCGTCCCGCCAGAGGATCTTGCCGCAGAGCAAGACTTTCTCTGGCAACCAAGTGGCCGAGAGGCCACCGGCGGTGCCACTGCCGCCGCTGAGGGCACGAACCGGAGCCGCTCGAAAGATAGAGGCTCCACCGTAAGCGGCGGTGCTACGAGGAGCACCAGAAGGCGGGCTAGACGTGAGCGGGAGGAGCGCGATCTAGACTGGGAAAACGTCGGGCGAGCGGAGCGGGAGATGCGTGCTGCGGGTGGCAGAGGGAGAAGGGAGGGTAGAGACGACGGGGATGTGGTGGCAATAGGACAGCTACGACGAAAACAGAGGCAGTTGGCGGAGAGGGAACACAAGTGCGAGGTGGACCTAGAAAAGGTGAGCAGGTAAAAGTAGATAGGCTCGTTGGTGTTCCTTGTCTTGTCTTGTGCGTGGCGAGTGTTTGGCCTCAGTGGACCGGATACCGGATATGACTCCATTGCTGCCTCGTAACGTGCTGTGAATCTTCAATATCCAGATCTGTCAGCGTTGTGCTGTAGGTGTCGTCTGCAACATGCCTTTGTATTTGTTTACCTTCCTTGTCGGCCAAACTCTAGACTAGACTACACCTCTCGTCGACCAACCGTCTTTTTCGCCGATTTTTCTTACGTCCAACCGAAGTCACGCCTGTTGTATTACTGCAACGCTTGCTTTGCTCGGCCGCACGTTCGTCGCGAATTGGCCCAGTCTTGGCTCACAAAGGCAATGTTCAATGTTGTGACTTCTACACTTGTTTCTATGCTACAAACCGCAAGTTGAACCGCGGTGATGACGCTATAATTTTGCGCCACATCCCTCTGATGCGTATTGTTTATTTTGCTCGCGACCTCTTCCTCTCCTGCTTCTCGATTGCGGTGATTTCTTCTTTTGTTGGGGTACAGGTTCGGGATCGCCTTGACGTCGTGGATGCTACGGTGGAGCTGTGGATGCGCCGATCGGCGGGCATGTTGTCGCGAGGGGGTTCCGAGACTGACACGGATGTGCTTCAGGTATTCACTGCAGTCGCAACAGAAACCACTTGTCGACAGCAGAGGCGGTACGAAACACATACTTCTGTAACTCCTCTATGCGTCTTGTGTTCCGGCCCCCTGCGCATGTATCATGTTGGCCCACTCCTTCCTGCCCTTCCTCGTTTCCGCCCTCGGCGTTGGTACGGATTGTTGCGGCACTGATTGCCGAGACCATGAGGCGCGACCATGTGTGATCGTTGCTGACGCCAGTTAACGTATGTTGGAAGAAGGTGTAGTGCTTGAAAATCGCTCACCAACCGCTCGGAACAACATCAACTCACGCACGACATGTCCCCGTCTGCCCGTTCGCTTGGCTCTCCGTTCCCTTTGTTTCGCCTCAACACTTGCTCTGTTGGCCAATTTGTGGCTAATTTGATCATTATAATTGAAGGCCAAACGACGAATCTACGGCCTGAAAGACGAGGGTCGGCAGTTGGATAGTGCCACCGTCGAGCTGGAGGGCCGTCTCGAGGACTGCCGTGCCAAGCTTGACAGGATCGTCCAGGTGTGTTGATTGCCGTATGCATATCGCCCCGGTGGTCTAGTTGGTAGCCTCGTAACCTTCTAGAGGTCAGGTCAGGGGTTCGACTCCCGGCGTAGGCGAGCTTTTCTTGCAAAGTGAGTTTTTCTCTCGCTTCCGCTCCTGGTCTAGTGGATAGCGCTAGTTCGTGTGTACACAGAGGGAAGAGAGTGCTGAACTCTTCTCGCATTAAAAATCGAAGGCAAAGTACCGCAGGAGGGGAGGGTAGAGAGAGGCTCTTCTGTGTGACCACGGGTTGGAATAAACGGCACTAGTGCTGTGAGCGCTGATTTGAAGTGAAGAACAAAAAAAAAATGATGATGGTGGCCTATTTTTCACGCTTGTTGGCCTTATGGACGGTGCCTGCGACCTGAATGTATGCACGTTTCGTTTTTATTTTATTTTACGTTTCGCTCCCACTTGGACGGAGAGCGGATAGGTTCGGTGCCATCGACATACCCTTGGCAGTATAAACCACTCTGATCTAATACACGGTCGCGCGCGAACCCAGCGTGTGATGTATCGTGGCCTTTACCCGTGCGAATGATTTTGGTGAGGTAATTAACACGATGAGAATCAGGCGTGTACATTTTCGTGTATCTTTGGTGTCACGACGGCCAGTACAAGAGAAACGGTGAATAGCAGTGAAGTTTGCACATTGGACCCGGTTGCATGGAAATGGATGGTGAGCGGTTGTTCGTGTGCTATCTACCCTCCGATTCAACCTGTATTTCAGGAACTTGAATTCCTTGGGGAGGCCGCAATGCCTCAAGCGTTTAACACGCCAGACGAAGAAAGGGATGTGGAAAATGTGCCCGAGGCTGAGACTGTGGAAGCCGGCATTCAGGCGGGAGGAGGGGACGTTAACCCCAAAATGACCAAGTCATCCGGCGGCGACACCCAGGTCGTGGAGATTGGCGGGCTTGGTTTGAATGCGGAAAGCAAGCGGCCAATGGAAGCCGTGCCGGCCGTAACAGAAGCAGATACTTGAGGGGGACGCCGTCGTTTTCGGCAGCATTGCTATACGGGCTGCCGGGAAACTTGCTTTTGACAAATTAAGCATGGGTTGGTTCCTCGTGTTTTTCCGGGGGCGAACAAAAGCAACGGCACACGCCTTCTTGCCTCCGAGAATAGTGCCGGACGATAAAGTCGTAGGTATTTTCTATCCAGGACATTATTTCAGGCCCGCGTATGTATTCTGCGTCGGGTGTGTACAATCGTGTGCAGTCCTAGCCGACGCTTTCAGAAAGTAAGAAACTATGCACTACAAAACTGAAAAGTTGCGTCGTCGTAATTCGTTGACGCATACACCCCACACCCTTCCTGGCCTTCTATTGTTATACTTAGTACACCTTCCTTCCTGGCCTACAGTACAGAGCATCAACGCACTTTTTCGCCTCAATTCGCCAACCCCTACAGGCTGCGTTCTCCGAGTCGCTGTGTGCCGTACTGCCGAAAACAAACAGCAAACGAGTACTGTACGATCACGATCACGATCACGATCACGGCGACACCACCGAACACGGAGGGACGTCACCGTAAAAACCCTGTTGGCGTGGTTGGCGGCCAAGGAAGGTGTTGCCGCCAAAGTATTAGTTTCGCGTGGGCTCAGAGCGTACGCGCACGGCTTTCGGCACAAAGGCCCACTCCCTATTCAAGGCACGATATACTCTGACGTCAGGACGTGCCGTGCAATGCTATGCTATGCCTCGGTCTTGATCTTCTTGCTCTTGCGCCGTTCGCGGCCGCCTCCACCCTCAGCACGACCCCTCTTCTGCGACCACCAAGCATGCTTCTTGAGTTTCTTGTTGACCGCGATCAGTTTGTCCTTTTCCACTCGATACGGCTACCGTGTGACGTGTGACGCGGGAGGGCAGGGGGAATGGGTCGAAGGCGTTACGGTTAGGGGAATGCGCGGGTGTTGTGGGGGCGGACGTCGGGTAGGGAACCCGGCAAACTTGGGCTTGAGCATGTTCCGGGTCCACATCCCGATTCGTCAATGTTAGAATGATAGACCACATGCGATCTGGCCGATAGAGCAGTGAAGGCTTTTTGCTGTACAGGTTGTGGTTCTCTCGCTTCTCACCAGAATTTCGTCCAATTCTAGGGCCAACCGCTGGGCCTCTCTCAGCACGTCTTTCCAGCCCTCCCGATCACCGAATTCCTTGCCTAGCAGAGCGGGCAAGTCAAACGGAGGCGCTTCCATTCGACGTGCTGCATTCACATAGAAGAACGCCGGGGCGGGGGCGGGGGGTCGGTTCGTTGCAGGCAGTCTGTCGCTGGGCCGCATCAGGTCGGCATCTATACAGTATAACGCAAGAAACAACACTACAAACCGGTGAGGTAGTGACCACATGTTATCGGCGAGCTGCTGTGGCGTCTTCCTTTCGTGGCATACTCGGCAGTCTAGTCATCATCACTCCCAATCGTTAGCTGGGCTAAGCCCAGAGGGAGGAAGAGAAAAAAACAAGCGAAATGTTGCGGTTCGTCGGTACAGCAGTTGAGGGCACGACGTCGTCGGTGTTGGTACAACGAAACCAGGGTCGATGCAAATTCTAGCCTACCCCTACTGCTGCACGGTAAAAAAAAAGGCATGAACTCACATTCTCGGAGCAGCGCGGCCAAGGCTAACCGCGAGGGCGGGTGGAGAAACGGAAGGTCGGTCACCTTTCCAACGCGAAAAGCGACATATAGACATGGGGCCACGCGGACGAGATTTTGAAGGGGGAGAAGGGGCGTCGGGAAGGCAACACGAAAGGTCAAGATTGTATTTGCAAATTGTGCGAACGTTTCAAACACCGAAGGTTGCAGTCGAACACGCAAAGGGCATGGTGTCGAATCGCTTCGCTCGCCCGCACAAGATGGCGAGTTGAAAACAAAAGTGCCTCTACTGCTGCGGTCCTCTCCATGCACTTGTATGCCATCCAAAAGGGTAGCGGTCGCACGCTACTACCCTACTAAAGAATACACGGAACTGCCAAACATGTCAGCGGCCCGGTCGGTGTCATCATGCCATGATGCGATGCTGAGGCGAATGCCTTTCGCTCGGCATCTGAAATCAAAACTCGCACCTATTTCATGGGCGTCCACTTTTGTGCGCTTCGCACCATCACTAACTAGTAACACGACGTTCCAAGAACGACGTCAACGTGCACCAAAAAGTCTCTCGTATTACCACAGCGGTGGTTGTCGCCCATGTACTCGATGCTGGGTGCGCCATCTCATCTCACCACAATGTCGTCGAGGGCAGCCCTAGCTCCATCGTGTAGCGCCATGATTCTCTCCGGCTGCGGCGGGATCCCTTCCGTTTTGGCTTTTAACCGGGCACCCTCGACCAGCGCCGGTAGAGCTCTGTAGGGGTGGAACACCGCCAGGTGAAAGCTCAGACCCTGGGAGAGTTTCGTTTCAGCAGGGGCACGAGAGCAAAAGCAGAAACATTAACATTGTGTTCGCTTTGGCTGTTTGGTGAGACACGACGTGAGACTAGCAACACGAAGGCGAGAGAGAGAGAGAGAAACCTACCGCAGCTCGTTGCAGGATGATCGCCAGCGAGAAGTTCAAAACGTGGCTTGGGAGCACTGGTGGTTGGTTTACCATCGACGTGCCCTATCCCCCATACATCTCCTGGTCGCAGCAGCCACTCTCGCTCCCACCCACCTGCAACAAGGTCAGTTCCTTTCCCAGGATCTGTAAGTCATCGAGCCCCGTCGCCTTCGCCAAAAGGTTCACGTTGGTCATCTGCTCCTCAGTCTTGCTCGCCAGAAACACGCACGTCAAGCTGTATGATTCATGGGGAGTGGGGGCATCGGGGTTAGCGGAGGGAGCTTGTACTTCAAGCGTAAGAAATTTGAAGGTGATCCCCGGAATCCAAAACCTAACATCTTGTTTCGATGTCACACAGCTTCGCAAACCAGTGCCGATTGAACTACCCGTCGCATGCATAGAGCAAAACCACTACTTTACAGTAATTTGCAGCCATAATAACGTATCAGGACCGGGTGGGGTTCAAAGGGTGCGAAACTCGGCAAGAAAAATCAAGCGGGACGAACAGATAGATAGTACCTAACTTGCAGCACCACCAAGGGAGGACTGCTGGATCACACGTGCCTCTCCCTCTCTCTCTCCCTCTCCCTCTCTCTCTCTCTCTCTCTCTCTCTCTCTCTCTCTCTCTGTCTCTTTTGGTCTTTCTCTCTTTCTCTGTCTCAATTTACTTCAGAACTGCAATTTGTCTCACATCAAGATCTTCGGATCGTGTTCGAGGACGCTATTGGACAGGTAGAAGCGGTGAAAGTAAGCAATTGCGGTCGCCTGCGGACGGCAGTAGTCAGAGTACGACAGAGAGGGGAACAGAGAGCGAAGAAAATGGTGACGGTAGAGACGGGGGTCAGAAAGAGACTAAGGGGTGCTAAGGTGTGCCTCCATGACGGGTACGCGATATTCATGTCCGACGGCGAACAACGAATCAATCACGAATGGCAAAGCCATCATGACCCATCTATTGTAACTTTCCTCTTTCGGAAACCCGCGAACGGCGCTCACACTGGGGAAAAGTGCGACCGCGCCAAGGTTGCTGAAAACACTTTCATAAACGTGCGAAATCAGCCCTGTCTGCCACTGGCAGAGTAGATCGTGAACAGCTGTCGTCTAGAAAGTGAAGTTCGTCTCCCTCCGAATGGGTGAGGTTCGTACCTGGACCTTGTCAGATCTCCGTAGATCTTCATCTGCCGAGTCGCGGCCACACGTCTCTTGAATTTTCTTCGCGTAGTAATTCTTTACTAGGCACTCTTCCTCCACCTTTCCTCACCCCAAGCCCACAATCGTCAGAAAGGAAAGCACACGTTCAGGTTCGGTGCGAAAATAAGAAGCACAGCGACGGGGGTAGATTCGCACGAATGGACTTTATAGGGGGTACATCCGAGAAGCAGGGGGATATAGGGGGCGACAAACTTTCTCCTTTTATCGGCGCGTCGGAATGACGAGACGGTTCCACTCCGTCACACAGGCCGGGGACCTTGAGGGTCGTTATTCGGGGGCGACTATTTTCTATTTTCTCCATGGATGCGAGCCAAAATAACGGACGTCGACAACGCTATCTACTTGCAAACGGCCAAGGCCAAAATTCTCAAGTCTCGCGCATCGGGTCCTCACCGTAAGGCAAGACTATATACTGATTTGTAAATCTTTCCCCAGAATCTCAACAAGTTTTTTGGGACTGTAAGACTATGTACGTGCGTCAGCGTCAATCGCCATGTCAAGCAGCAAGTACACACTTCAGCATTTTGTATCAACAGGTCCAGCTGCGACCAAAACATAAGCGGTGACAGCTGTTTCTGAAGTTAAATAGCAGTAGTTATGTCAGCACATGCAAACAGCTGAGCGCTTGCGTGGCAGCTGTCAGAGCGCTGTGAAGCGAGGTGATGCAGGGCAGCAATGCACACTGTGCAGATCCCCGAGCCTTATGTTCGGACGTTGGCACGCACATATATACAACGTGTGCCTTCGGCACACGCATACATATGCATAAGAGATTTGGCTTTCCTCTGTTTGCTTTTTGCACATGTTCTTGCATCACCCCCTGCCGCGGTGCTATTTGAAACCCACTCCGAGGTAGGCTGTTTATTGCCCAAAACGCGAGTAAAATAATAGGACTCGAACGTTTCCATGAGGACCAACGTTCATCCCTGAACTCTGGCACAGCTGCCACACGAAACACGGCAGGGGTTAGAGAGGTACATTACGACTGCACCCCTTTAGGTCGTAATTTATTCGTCCATCGACTGACGTGTGGGCGCACTTGCCTATGGCCGCGGGCTACGAAACAAAAGCACATACTCGATGCATATGCCACCACATGTAAACGCGTCCGCTCGGCATACCGTGAGCAGTGGTTCCGCCGACGACGCAGTCGGCGCTGGTCTTTTCTTCCCGCTCCCACCCCCTTTCCCTTTCCCGCCACTGTCGCCCTCTCCGGTGTCCGTGGCTGGCACTCCTGCCGTCAGTATGTCAACATGTCAACGCCAACAGGCAAGTGAGTTCAGTTTACTCAGCACTTCCAAGCGGTAAGCTATGACGCGCCGCATTCGGGCGTCAAGCGGTCACACTCCAACATTGCAAATTAGGCATTCCAAGACAAGCTGGCATACTTATGCGTACAATGGGGGGGGGGTCTTGAGATTGGATTCGATTGGAACAGCAGCGGATATGGACAGAAAAATAATGGAACCCGTTGTCGATGCCAAACCGGTATGTGTCTCAACTGTGCACGTGTCCGGTATCTAAAGAACACCAGTACAAATACTGTCGGACATACAGTTTATCGCCGAAACCGGGGGAGATCGGCACAGTGTACTGCCGCAGATGTATAGTATGATTTTGAAGTTCAAGCACCGCTGGTCCCCTGCGATCAATCTTCCATATATCACAGCTGACCATATGCTACCACATTCGGCAGCATGCTTGACTGAGGGTGGTTGGTATGGCAATCAAACATCGCGGTGCTGTACATGTAAAACCATCGCGGTGCCGAAACGGCGAAGCACTCGATGTGAGCACATACAAATACCCGGCGGGCAGAGCCTACGCAACATCGCTGTTGTAGACTGGTATCAGCAGGCTCACCAAAGAGAGTCAGCCTGCACACATTGCAAGCAAACCCGTAGACATAACACTTATTATAGTCCGTCTTTCTTACAGCGGTGATGTGCCCGCCACCTGGGTCAGATTCCTGTCAAAACAGTTTCGTCTGCACACATAGGCAAGCCGCGAACTAAGATCTTGAATTTTCCCATCAGGCACACCTCCCTCGCCCTTCACGTCCAGAGTTCCTTCCTCATTGTCCGTTGTAGCCCGCCCGCCACTCTTGTCGCCGGCGGTCGACCTAGTTACCGCGAAGCTTCGAGACCCCTGCAACGGACAAGTGAGAGGGTAGCTAACAGCGTGAGACAGCGAGGCAGACAAGTGTCGCAGACCGTATGTACTCGAAGCTAAAGTTCGTCTGTAAGATGAACCAGGGTTGTACCCTAATCGCCTTGGAGTATGAGATAGGGAGACAACAACAAACGCAGCAAATCGCAAGGCAAGTCCGATAACCATGGTATCATGGTGTGGTGTCGTACGGTGGAGTGCACGCACTTGGCTCTATCTTGGCTATGTGTTACCCCTACACACGTTCTCTTTGCTTCCATGAACGCGTACAACAGCGTTTTGTGGATGTGATTGGATGCTATCTATAGTACACCGCCCGCAAATCGTTTCTGCCGCCGGTCCTGCCGTGTAACCAGCTGCCATATGCAGTCATTGTGTTTGGGTCGGCCCAGATCAGACGAACTGCCTTCACAGTATTCCCTCACCTCTGGAGGAGTTCCAGCAGCGCAGGCCTCCGCTGCAAGCTTTGCAGTCTCCTCTTGGACTTCTCCTGGTTCATGTTCGTGTTCAATTGTGCGCCGCCGGATCATGTTGCAGTAGAGGGCAAAGGGCATCGTCTCCATGATTGTTCTCTGCCGTAAGTTGCTACTGCGGTGTACTTCTCTCTCTGTTTCTGGTGTACCGTTTGTTTCTGCTGCCGAAAGCACCTCTGTGATCTCACATACTGCTGCTGTACAGCATGCATAATGCTATAGACTAATGCTATAGAGGCACACAAAAGATTTTTGAATGCACCTCCGAGTGTTGCAAATTTTAGGAGTGAGCAGGATCCCGACATCCCGACATTACACCGCAGGCGGTCAGATTTCGAACGTTCGGTGTGGCCGGCATGTTACTTGACATGTTACAATTGTACAGCAGTAGTGTACGTTGGTCCCAGCTTCAGATGCACGAATACGTTAAGTCACTGGCACAGAGATGGTGCTGCTGTAGCACTGCTGCACCTGCTACAATTGAGACTTGCAGAGTGGCTGGTGGAACAAAGCAAGTCAGTGAGGGTAACTTACGCCTTGCACTACAACGGACTCACGAAGTGTTCCCTTGGTGAAAAGCCAGTGCCTTCGGTGTGTAGAAGAATTGAATTCCATGGTCAGCTGAAGGGGCTACTGCACGTGCCGCCTACCCAAACCAGCACGCCAGCGAGACTAGGATGCACTGCTCAGTGGTGCTGTGTTTGTGCAGGTTGGCGTGGGGGTCTCCGTGGATTGAAAATCACCATTTCGAGGTACCTCCTCCAAACACGAAGCTCCCCTTGAAAACAAATGTGGCAGTTGGGCATTGTTTGCTGCATCCATTGTCCTTCGAGGCGTGGTGCAAGGATAAGATAAGATTCGAGTGAACCACGACCATGCCCGATCACGACGACGTCGCCGACACGGCATCGACAACGTCTTCATCGTCCTACGATGACAACCGGATCAAGGTAGTTTGCCGAGTAAGGCCGCCGGTGTCTCGCGAGACCCATGGCGCGCGGACTCTCGCTCACCGCTGCGTTGCCGTCAGGGAAGACAAGCGCACGGTCACGCTCAACACCAAGCCTCAGGAGAAGAACTTCACGTTCGACTACGCGGCAGGCGAGGACTCCACGCAAGAGGAGCTATTTTCGGAGGTGTGTTGCTTCGTGACTCGGGTTGTCGGGTTGCAAAAAAAGAAAAAGAAAAAGCCAACGGACAGATCTGTCCTACACAGCAGTAGCAGTATTTAGTATTTGTAGCAGCAGTTGCTGGGACTTTCCCGGGAAGACGAGAGGGTTTGGCCACCACCGCGCGCACTGGCGATGCGATCACCATCACCAGACGGCACCACTACAACGCGTGTCATTGCAGCACAGTAGGAAGGCGGGCCTCCACTTGAGTTGTGCTTGGCTGCGCTGTCATGCCTCAGCAGCCAGCAGCTAAAGCAAAGTCACATCTCGCTTGCTTGCCTTTCACCAAAACAACTGCTGCTGCTGTTGAGAGCTAAGCGATACACGCACGCGGATCCAGCAAGAGAAGTCCTCTGAAAGCCCATGTGTGTTACACGTCATTCAGATGGGGATGTTTGCTATTCTTGTTGATGTGCTTGTCGGTGCTATGTATCTACCTCGTTCCCTCGTTTTGCGCCGTTGTCTTGTTTTTTGCCTGGCCCGCGATTGCTGGAAATGGTGATCTGCGGACGTGTGATTCTTTTTTTTTTTTTTGCATCCGAGATCCCGAGCCACGCTGGCTCTTGACGATCCTCCGGATATATGAACGACGGGTGTTTGATCCAAATCTAATCGACCGCGGCGTGGCTGTGTTTGGTCTGTATCTTACCCGTCTCCCAAGTCGTATATCTCCAAACGAAAATGCACTCCGACCCGCGGCCCTTGTTGTTGGTGTATGCTCCAAACATAAACATACATACAGGTTGGCAAGCCCGTCACGGAGGCGTGTCTGGAAGGATACAATGGGACCATCTTCTGCTACGGGCAGGTGGGTGGTGTCGGTGTCGCATACATATATCGTAGATGCACCTAGAGTACAGTAGGCGAAAATGCTGTACGGTTCAATAGAAAAGGCTGTCGATGAGATTGCACAAGGTTTTACAGCAGTATCTTGAGCAAGACCTCTATCCAGCGATCCAGCGGTATCGTTTACAAATATGGCGTGCCTCGACCTACAGGTAGAGCAGTACCTTCGGTACCTTCTTGCTGCTGCACCAGTCACGTCCCTGTTACGGTTGCGCTGCCTCGAACGACGGCTAGCTACACTTGTTATTCGGCCAGTAGCCCATTTGCAAAGACGCTGCCCGCCGAAACCGAACTCGAGCCGCTCGACGCTTTTCTTCCTTCAACCATTGTGTTTGACGCGTGCAGACGGGCTCCGGTAAAACCTTCACGACGTTCGGACCCGGGGCGGTAATGGAGAACCATCTCACCCCCAGCGACCCCAAGTCGTACGCCCTCCGGGGGCTTGTGCCTCGCGTACTCGAGTACCTGTACGCCAACATCGCGCGCCAGGTGGACAACGGAGGAGGCAAGGTGCGACCCGATAGAAGGCCATCGTATCATCGTTTTTTAAGGCATCATCGTTGTTCAAAAAGTAAAACAGAACGTAGATTAGAGTAGACAGGAAGAAGGCCTAAGGGCGAATATTAACGAAGAGTCAAAAATCAAAATCAAAATCAAAATCAAAATGCGTTATCGTGGAAAACTGAAAAAAGAGGGTCGTGTATGTTAACGAGGATAGGAGACAGAAGAGGCAAAAAATCAAAAAGACCTGGCGCCAGGGGAAGAGCCAGCAGGCAGCGGTGATTTTTCTAGGGTGCGTTTTGCGCTCCTGTGTTCACGTGTTAGCCGATATCTCGCCAAATAATTAACGAGTTGCCTCAAGAACGGTATCCGGAAGGAGCTGGAAACATGGGCTGTTGGGCAATGCCAAGGTTTGGCGCCGTGAGGTGCCGAATGCGCCGGGAAAAAAAGGTTGTGTTGAAGCAAAAATGCCAACGGTTGCGAGCGGTCGCTTCAAGTTCGGTGTTTTGGGCCGCCACGGGTTGTGATATCCACCGATAACTTCCGAAAAAGGAAGCAACAGCAACAGCAACGCCCCGCGGCGGGAGGTACCTCTCTGCTCAATCTTTCAAGCCCAAGGTCTGCTACCATGGGGTATCGTGCGTGTAGGGAAAAAACGTTTTGGTTGACCCAAAAAATCCACGTCTGAGGGCAGCTAGTTCAAGTTCGTGCCGAATGTCTGCTCATAGTTTAGTTTTTCAGCGATAACTCTTGGAAGGAGGAAGCAACAGCATTAGCAATGCCACGCGACGGGAGGTAGCTTTACCCACCATCTGTCTCGTACAAGGTTAGATGCCTTGGGGTATCGTGAGTGAACAAAAAGGTTGCAACTACCCTCTCCCGCACGGAACAGCCCGAAAAAGCCGCGCAGCCCTGTTCTGATCGTCAGTCCGTTTACCACTTGTCACGATCGGCATTTTCTCCTCGAGCACCCAACGAGCCGGCCCGTTTTTTGGCTTGCCGGCGAGCAGAGTCTTCTGGCTAAAAACAATGGCCATGGTCTCGGTGGTAGGGTGCCGATAGCCCCTCTATGAGCAGTGTGCAGCAGGTCGTGTCGTACACTTGCTTTGCAGCGGCCTCGCGGCAGGTGCTCCAAGCCTTCGAAGTCTTGAACTCCTTGCCTCTTTGATTTTGATTTTGATAAAAAAAAGTTCCCCGGGGACTTCTTCTCAGACAGAGGAACTTCCATCAAATCAAAGGGCGTCGTCAAGAGGTAGCAGATATTCGACCAATCAGATCTCGATTTTGATTTTGATTTTTTTTTTTTTTTCGGCACTTCGTTAATATACGACCTAACGATCGCGGCCGAGAGCGAACCAAAAGAGGCAATGATTCGGCGAAGGTCTATGGGCTGCTTGTTGTTCATGATGAAGCACAACGCGGACGGCCTGAAACGCTGTGTCGTCCTTGGTATGTGGATCTTGGTAATTCGCTTCAATACTCTGGGTTTCTGTTTCGTTGTCTCTGCGTGCTTGTTCGTGTTCATGTTCGTGTTGGCGATGCACAGGTGAGCTACTCGTGCAAGTGCTCCTTCTTCGAGATCTTCAACGAGAAAGTCTTCGACCTCGTGGATGAGAGCAACAGGGACAATCCCATGGGTCTCACTGTGCGGGAGGACACACGGAAAGGGGTCTATGTCGAGGGGCTGATGGAAGAGGATGTGAGTTGGGTTACTGCTGTGGTTGCCATCATGGGGGTCACGATCACGAGAGAGGTGGCAGGGACTGAATCAGCGACACACACACAGAGAGAGAGAGAGAGAGAGAGAGAGAGAGAGAGAGAGAGAGAGAGAGAGAGAGAGAGAGAGAGAGAGAGAGAGAGAGAGAGAGAGAGAGTTATACGAGGAGGTGAATTAGAGAGATCGTTGCGGAAACTTGGACGGACGTTCTGTAGGTAGGCGCTGTGAGCACTTTGTAATGTGCTGCTGTAAGCAGCAAGGTTTCTGCTGCTCCAAGACAACTTCCATGCCGTTCAGTAGTTTGTTACTTGCGTCGAGGAGTTCTCGTGTGCTCGTGCGTGTAGCAGGGGTTGCAGGATCTAGGTGCGTTGCTGGTATTTCACCTCCTGCGGTCTCGTCGGGGTTGGCGAAACCTGGCAACTTTGTCGCCTGGCCCAGACCTCCTCCTAACCTCCCTCTTTGCTTTGATACCGTAGTGTGTTGATCTCCTCATCTTGCCCATGACATGCGCAATAAAACATATTCCACGTACGCTCATTTGTTGTATTACAGGTTGATGGCGTCGAGTCGGCATGCGAGGTTCTCCACAGGGGCTTCCGAAACCGGCATGTCGGGGAGACCGCTATGAACCGCGAGTCGTCGCGGTCCCACGCCGTGTTCACCCTGGTGATTCAGGCCACGGAGGTAGTGGAGGAGGAAGGACTGACTCGCTCGAGAGTTGCTCGGTTCAACCTCGTCGACCTTGCTGGCTCCGAGCGGCAGAAGGACACCCAGGTACTGTATTGTACGGCCCGACCGCGGTCAATATTGTACTTTGTTTGAACTTTATTTTGAAGTATGACGGGATTGCGCGTGCCTTGCGCTGCTTGTCGCTGATCACGTCACGGTAGGGTTACCTGCAATCCTTCCCGCGTCTTGACCCCCAACATACATGTACTTGCGTATGGTCACCTGCCTGTCGACTCTTGCTGTGCGACTGGCTAACTTTGCGTTTTGTCTTTCCCTCTTGCATGCCTCCCTTCTTTTGTTGGCCACTCCACCCCATCTGTCGTCTGGCATAACCCTCGCTGTCTCTGTCTCTCGCGATGCACGCGGTACTGCTATCCGGTAGGCAAGTGGGGAGCGACTCAAAGAGGCGTCGAACATCAACAAGTCCTTGTCCACCCTGGGCCAGGTGATCAACGCCCTCGTTGAAAAATCCGCGGGCCGATTCCGCCATGTGCACTACCGCGACTCCAAGCTCACTTTCCTGCTGCGGGACTCCCTGGGCGGCAACTCGAAGACCATGCTCGTGGCCGCCCTGTCCCCCGCCGACCAGAACTTCGGGGAGACCCTGTCCACGCTCAAGTTCGCCCAAAGGGCCAAGATGATCAAAAACCAGGCGGTCAAGAACGAGGACACTTCGGGTAGCTTCGACGCCCTCAGGAAGGAGGTGACCACCCTTCGCCAGAAGCTCGCTGCCGCGCAGCAGCCCGGGAGCGGCGGCGGTATTCCCCGAGCCATTGCCGCCGGCGGAGATTTCTTGGAAGTTTCTGGCGGTGGGGAAGGTGGCACCGCGGGGGCGGCGACCGGCGGTGTGGATGGCGGTGCCTCGGAAGAGCTGCTGGTGAACGCGCTGCGGAGGGCGAGGGCCGCGGAGGAGGCACAGGCAGGCGCGAGCAGGAGGGTAGAGTCTCTCCTGGCCGCCGTGGAGAAGGGGGAGAAGGACGCGTTGCAGCTGAAGATGATCATCAAGTTCCGGGACGGGACCATCGCCGCGCAGAGGAAGAAGGACTCGGACCAGGAGCGGTGCGTGTGTGTTTTGTTGTGTTGTGTTGTGTTGTGTTGGGGTAAGGGGTGGTGGTGGTGAGCCTCGTGTTTTTTTTTCTGTGCTGTGCTGCCTGTGGGAGGCCGCGGGGTGGAATGCTACCTGTGTTCACCTGGCTGTTCGATTGTCCCCGTGAGAGCCCTCAGGGACGGTGCCAGTGATGGGATTCGACGCCAAGCTCACGTGCGTCTGTCTGATGCGCTGTCTCTTGCTTGCACACAATCCCAGGGCCTCCATGGCCGACGAGAATGCGCATCTTCTCAAGCAGCTCGAGGGAGGGGTCAACGAGTCTGCTGAGGTGAGGGTGGCTAACTGTATAGTACGAGCTTGCAAGTAGCAACATCGTGTGATCCCGCCGTGTCTCGTAAGACAGCAGCGTCCTCCACAGCGTGCAGGAAACACTTCGATGCAAGCGTGAATGCGAAGGAGGAGATGAGAACAGCGCGTCGGGTTCGGCAGGTAGTTTACCGTCTGCTGAAAACAGTGACAGGTCTTCTTTGCTGCTCCTGCTTAGTATCTCACAGTTCCGCACGGTGTCAGTCCGTGCGTGTTCGCTGCTGTACGTGTATTGTTGATTCCTAGTGTTGTGCTGTTTCATTCATTCATTCGTCATTCTTAGGGTTAGCCCTTCGTGATTACCCTTCCATGAACAAGGTGAGCAAGTGGCGGCTGCAATGCAAGGAGGCCGAAGCTAGGTTGGCGGAACTCACGGGCGACAATAGCGGCGACGTCAGGAGACTCGTGTGGGGAGTAGGCGACGAGGAAAGGTTTCGTGGCGAGCTGGACGAGAAGGTAGGGTTAATCTTGATGAGTCAACGCTACCCAATATTATTGCACTGATTGACAGCGGCGATCGGAGTGTGTTCACCCCTAGTACTGCGTACTTCGCTGGTGGAATATAGTATGGCTAAAACAATTCAATCGCCAGTTGTTTCCCTTGCCAAAGCTGCGTGAACGGACGAACTGTAGGTTCTTTGTTTTTTTTTTCGTATTTTGGTATCGATCGATCGAATCTACTTGCACATATAGAGAAGATGCGTTCACTCAAAGTGAGTCCGGCCTGTCAACATTGACAGCCATGCCGTGTTTTCTAGCCAGCTCCATCGCGAAAAGATAACACATTGCTTGCGACTTTCTGCCGTTTCGTCCGTCGTGGGTTCCAACATGTATCATGTCCTACAATATTTCCTCGGTATTTGTTTGTACGGTGGCTCGGACAGGTGCTGAGCCTTGTGGAGGAGAAGCGTCAGCTCACCGACGCGGCTGACGAGTTGGAGGAACGCCTCCGACACGAGTCGAGGAAGGCAGAGAAGCGACGGATGTCGGCGGCTAACCGTGCCGAGTTGGAGGTAATTTTATCGGAGTGATTATCGGTGTGCTTGCTTTGGGTGATTGGGGGAAAGCCCTTGCCATTCTGTTTCATTGTGTTCTCTTTTTTTGTGTGTGGACCTTGTATTGTAATCTTCTAGGGAAGCGTTTTGCGTTGAAGAATGTATTACTTGCTGCCTGCCGGTGTCTGGGCTTGCAGTGAGCGAAGTCGGGTGTGCTGTGGAGGTAATGAAGGTATTGGCTGCTTGTCGGTGCGGCCTTACCCTCTTGTCCGGCGTCGTCGGTGTACGGTGTTAAGTCCTTTCCTCCCGATGTCAGTGTCGTGAATCGCTCGTGTCGGTTCTACTTCAGCGAAGAACTGCGGTGCTGACTTCTTCACTTACGCTACGTTGTCGGTGTGTGTAGGTGAACCGCTCCTCATGTCGGCTTTGCTTTCACGAAGAACTGCTAATCTTCTTAGGGTCATTTCTTGCGTGCCTTACCTCTCGCACCATGCTGCTTCTTTTTTTGTCTGCCGGTTTTCGTCTCCTCGCGTGCAGGCCAAGAAGATCGTAGAAAACGCCCTGCTAAGCAAGCTTCAGGAGGCTCAGCGCCAAGCGGAGGAGACGCACGCCGCCCTTGCCGTGTCCGAAGAGCGCGTGGCTGGTCTAGAAACGGAGAGGGCTCGCCAGGGAGCGGCGGTCTCCGCGCTGACCAAGCAGCTTCAAGACGCGAACAGGTGATGGCTGCTGGAGAAGGGGTAGAAACGACATGGGGGTGGTTCTTGATGCTTTTTAAGAGAATTTCACTGTACTACTTGAAGCACGGGGATTTCGGTGGCGTGGTGTTGTTTTGGTCGTCGGTGATCCGGGAGCCGATTTTTTTGGGATACTGATACTTATCGTATTCACCTAACCTACACGATCACTGTACTGTACTGTACTGTACTGTACTGTACTGTACTGTACTGTACTGTACTGTACTGTACTGTACTGTACTGTATTGTACTGTACTGCACTGTATTGTACTGTACTGTACTGTATTGTAACCCTGGAAGGCCCATAGAAACCCACCGAACCCAACGAACACCGAATGGAAGTGTTAATAACTTCATACCTCTATTACTGTAGTTAAGAGCCATACTTACTTTCTGTTCCCTAGCGCTCAATAGTAGCCTCCGTTCTGATCTATTTCCTCCGTTGGTCGGGGTGGGGGTGTTCCAGACGTGAGGCGGAGGCGGTGCAGGACCGGGACGTGCGTCTGGCGGACCTGCAGTCGAAGATCGGAGAGCTTTCTGAGGCGAAAGAAAGGGCTGTCACGGACGGGGGGAGCGAGCTTGCCTCGCTGGAAGTCAAGATCGTCGGCTTCATCAAAGACAACTCGGAGTTGCTTCGCGCCAACAAGTGAGAGGGAAAAGTCATGGCGTGGCATGGGGTGGCGTGGGGTGTCTGGTGTTGGTGATTACGCTTGTGACCCCGTCGGGATTGTTGGCAGACAGCAGGTACGACAGGGCAAAGAACTTGTAAACTTCCTCGTCGAAATGTGATTCACCCGGTCATGATCTATTGCTGCTATGCTAGCTCCAAGACCAATAGAGCAACAGTAGCCTCCAGTGACATCGAAGCGAGCGAATGCTAACGCTGCCTGCGGTCTTGTCTGTTATTGTGGTTGACACTTGTGCGTGGTTGCGGTTGTGGTACTCAGGGCCCTGGAAGAAGAAGCCGACGCGCTTGATCTTAACTTGGAGCAACTGGAAGCGGAGAAGAAGGGTCTCGAGGAGAAGGCTGCTGCCGAAAGGGCCGAGGCGAAATCGGCCATCAAGAGCCTAGAGGAGCGCATGCAACAGCAGCAGGAGGCTCAAGAGCGGGAGTTGGAGGACCACCAGGCCGAGAAGAGGTGCGTCGCAGTTTGTATGTCTTGTGGGCTGGCTTGCCGGCTGATATAGGCAGTTTTTTTTTGGGTGGTTTTGTTGGTTGCCCCTGTGTTTGCGTCAGAGCCGTTGTTGTTCCTCTCCTTCATAAATAGAGTAGCGAATACCACCCTGCCACTACAATATATTTCATCCTTTTCGATGCCTCTGGCGCAGTCGTTTTTTTGTGCAATCCCGGCTTAGTTTGGATCCGTGCCGTGTTTGTTTGCGTGCGTACTCCGGCACGATGCGGCCATGCTGTGGTAAAATAGGTCGGTGATGGAAGATTTGGAGGATGTGACAGAACGCCTGAGGTCCGCAAAGGAGGCTCACGGCAAGGAGGTTGACGAGCACCAGCGGCGCAGCAATGACCTTCAGGAACGCCTCGTGGAAACCCGCGCGCTGAAGGGGCAGGTTAGTGGGCATGAGGATATCAACGCCGTGGGCGAGGGTTTCCTTGACCTGACTTGACTTGACTTGTGAGGTCCTGCTCCTTGGTCGGTGTGTAGCAGGCGCCCTCGTGGAGTAGATAAAAATGCGGGCAGATGTAATGGGTGTTGCATCATGGAGAACATGCTTTTGTCACTGGAGCGGAGTGACAAAAGCTGTTTCTTGGTAGAAGAGGGACTCCTGCGTCAGCTTTTTAGTCCGTCATGCCCTGCTGTCTTTTCCGCTTGTATCTTCGTTTCGACATGCATGTACAACATTGTAGCACGCTGTGCGTTCTTGATTTCGTGCTGCATCGTTGATTTTTTATTCCTCAGTTGGAGGGCCGGCTGAAGCAAGTGCAAGACGACTACGACACTCTCTCGGAGCAGGCGCACTTCACCCAGAGCCGCGCTCACGACCTCGAGTCCAGTCTGGAGCGGGCTGCCGATGACCTACGCCGCGCCGTCGCCGCCGGCACCGCTCGTGCTTGTGTCGTTCAGGGCCAGCTCCGCGAGACCGAGGCCCGTCTGTGCCTTGCTGAGGAGGGTCTAGCCGACGCCGAGCTACGCGCAGAGGGTGAAGAGTTCTTCAAGCTCGCACAGGAGGCGATTTCCAAGCAGGCGGGCGAAGTGTGCGCCGAGCGGGATCAGCGGATCGAGAGTCTGGTGGAGGAGTTGGAGACGTCTCGGGGGTACGCGGATGGGCTCCGGGCGCTCCTTTCAGGGGCGGAGCATGACGAGCGGCGTGGGTTGCCCGACGGGGTTGGTGCCATGGTCGGTAGAGTGGAAACAGAGTCTCGCGAGGCGATGGTCGGGGGTGCGGTGATGTGCCGCGAGATGATGGAAGAGTATGAGGCCTTGGTGGACCAAGTGTGTGGCCTCGAGCAGACGTTGGACGAGCTTGTCGGGGATGAGGACAGGCTGGTCGAGGAAGTCTACGGCCTGCAGTACCGAATCGAGGAGCTGGAGGTAAGTCTTGGAAGGGCTACTGTAATAGTAGTTAGTGTACCACGGGCGGGGAATGGTGTGTTGACGCAGGGGGCTTCTGGGTTAGGGTTTTTCAATAATATACTGTTCACCGCCAATCTTGCTTGTTGAATACTCATGCAATGTGGCTATTACATATGATTGTGGTACACTACGGGCAGGACGGTCACTTTTCTACCTTTGCCCGGTCATAAATGTATCAGACGCCCCTGTGTGCCTTGAAACGACGAATCAGAGGATTCGAGATCGAATGGGATGGGATGACGTTGCCGTGCTGTTTGTGTGTTGTTTTTAAGAAACATAAGTGTCGTTAAACCGCCGCACACACACCCCGCACCCTGTTGTTCGATGTAAATACCAGGAGAACGAGGCCGCCATCACGTCCGACCTCACAAGCACATCGGCCCAACTCGACGCCGCTAAGGCCGACCTCACGAGCGCTGCGGAGCAGCAGGTGGCCGCTTCCAACGCTCTGACGGACAAGGAAAAGGCCAACTGTAATCTTAGGGAGGAACTCGCCGTGGCCGGGTCAACGGCTACCGAGCTCAAGGCTGCCAAAGACGACCTTCATGCCGAGGTCGAGAAAACCAAGGGCGAAGCCCAGGAGTTGGGCGTCAAGCTGGAGGAGGTGCGGGACTCGTGCTTCGATTACCAGGCGCGCGCGATGAAGGCTGAAGGGTCCCTCGAGGGCCTGACGGCGGAGTTGTCTGAGGTGGAGGAGGAAAAGGCGGCGTGCTTGTCTCGCGAAGAGGCCCTCATCGCCGCTGTAACCGCAAGCAAGAAGACGGCCGCCGCTAACGACGAGCTTGTGAGAGCAAAGGAGGAGGAGCTTCTAGCGGTCGAGGGGGATCTGGCCGCGAGGAACGAGGAGCTTGCTGCCCTACAGGAGGAGTTCGCGGAGATGAAGCTGGAGGTGACTACCACGGAAGAGAGGCTCGAGGAAACCAGCAAGAGGCTGAAAGAGGAGGCGGAGAGGGTGAAGAACTTGGAGGAAGAAGTTACTGTCGGCAGGGGGACCGTTCAGGGGCTCGAGGCAAAGGTGGAAGACCTTGAGGAGCAGGTGAAGGACAACAAGAAAGACCTAGCCGCGGCAAAGAAGGACCTCGGAGCGCAACAGAAAGAGCTGGCCTCTGCCGCGAGAAAGCTCGCGGCTTCTGAGAAGAAGGCCGGTGCGGCGGAGGAGGCCTTAGCCACCGCGGAGGCTAGGGCCAAGGAGGGTAGGGAGACTGAGGCCGAGCTGAGGGGGGCTATCGCAGAGGCCGAGGTTGCGAGCAAGCGGGGGATCGAAGCAGCGAGGGAGGAGCTCGGCGAGATGGAGCAGCGGCTCAGGTGCAGTAACTAGAATAGGCAGACAGGACGGCAGCTGCTTTCGTCGTTGGGGGTAGTGTTTTGTCAGGGCTATTTCGCGCTCCCGCGTGTTGCTGTTTTTGGAGCTTAAGAGGAAGAGGATAGCTTATCGTCTCGATGTGTTATTGATTGCTTCGCTTTGCTTTTCCACTACATACACCTAGTCTATGATGAGAAGGAAGTAAGGGCCCGAAGCAAACGTCTTGAGACGGTGCTACCATCATGGTGATGGTGGATAGGGATGTCACTTCTCGGGCAATCTGTACTTCAAGTATGGATAGTTGTATCAGTCGCTCGACGCTTGGTGATATGCATGTGAAAAATCAAAAACCGTTTGGTGACCTTGCGCGTCGGTTTGTCATTTTTTTATTTATTCGTCTTCCTTGTTCATGTGCTAATTTCGTGTTATGGCAGCGCTGAGGTAGCGAAAACGGAAGCTTCCGAAGCCCGTGCAGAGCAGGTCGACGCTCTCAAGGCTGAGGTTGAGGACATGGTGGCGAGCCTGGGCCAAGAGGTGTGTTCTGTACTAAATACTTGATCGTTTGAAGCTGAACCCAAACGATTCTGGCTCTTGATCGACAGGGCATGACGCATGAGGCATGAGGAACTAACACTGCTCGTGGTATCGGTTGATGCCGTTGGTTTTGTCGTCGTCGTCAGATGTTTCGTGAACCTTCCGTTGTTCTTTCGGAACTTGGGAGATGTTGTTTTCGGTTGAGGTGGTTGCGTTGAGGTCTTTCTCTGTCGCACATGTCCGGAACGGGTATGCCATGTCATGTCATGTAATGTAATGCAATGCCGTAGCAGCCGGCCGGGATGGCGCTGCTTTGCTTGTACTGAAGACGTAGTTCTCAAGAGTACAGTACAAGTATGAGATCCGAGATACACCGCATGCTCTGTCATGCTCTGTCGACAGCAGCAGGTGAGCGTGTGGTTGGTTGTCGTCCTTCGGTTTGGCCCATGCCTTCCGCCGGCGTCTCTGCGAAAAGGTACCATATACCGGTACTGCCCATGCCTTCCCTTGTTTTGATATGAGGTGTGAGACAGACTAACTTGGTATTACTTGCTGTAGCACGAGTATCGCATCCCTTCTCGCCACTTGTGTCTCCTATTCGATACAAGTATTCGATATTTATTTCTGTTTGATCTTTGGCAAGACATTAATACCGGTATCGTCTCTTTCCTGTTACGAAAAGGCGAATCCCGTCTTCCACTTTTAACATATGTTGCCCACCGCGCCTCTGTCTCTCCTTGATGTGTTCGTAAACCATGACTTTTGGCACCATTTTTCCGTTTTCCTACAGTTGGTTCAGCTGCGGGAGGAGTGTCGCCGTGCCGCTGACAGATTGGAGGAGTCGGAGGCCGTACAGAAGGTTCACGCTGGCCGCGTGATTGATCTCAAGAAAGAGGTGCGTGTTGTGGAACTGCAGTCATGTGTGGTTTGGTCGGCAGGTCTTGATGAGGAATGTGTGTTGCTGTGTTGTGTGCGCGGCCGGTCCCTCCAGACGAGGAGGCTGCCAAGAAGAAGACACGATGATACATTGTAGCATGCGAAACGAAATAATGTTTGGTTTCGTTGAATGGTTTGCCTGGCCAACCGTGTTGTGTGCCTTGTTTGAACCTTCCTCGACTTGTCTTCTCCTCCCCCGTTGTTGTTTTAACCCACCCACGCCAAACACTTTATACACACAGGTGGAGCGCCTGCAAGGCTCCACGATGTCAGAGGAGGAGCGGCGAACCCTTGTGTCCGACGTGGAATCGGCTCGCCTCAACATCGCCGAGACCGAGCGTATGCTGCAGGTGGCGACAACTCGCAACGCCTGTCTGGAGGAGGAGATACGGGCGATGAGAGGAGAGACCGAAGGCTACACGGCGAAGGTACTGCTGCTGTAGCGAACGTATACTGCGTTGCGCTTGGTCAGACTTGCCATTTTCTCAGCATGCTGCCACGTGCTATCGGAAAGGATAAGGCCCATCGCCTTTGGGCTGGTTGTGATGGAAAAGAGATTGAATGTACTAGGATGGTAGGCTGTAGCTTGAGGAGATCGTTTTCGATGGCCACAGTCGAAAGGAGGTGGGCGAAGACATGTCGGCGCGCAGTATTGATAGTGTACTGCGGTAGAAAGTTGTTCGATGGAGAGTTGTTTTTGCCGGTGGTGCATACAACAAGACACGCATCCGGAGGAACAGGCCTTCTGTAGAGCACGGCAAAGGACATCAAAAATTCATCCAACAATGCGGTGTCAATTTAGAGCGAGGCTTGAGGCGTACACTTGGAAGGACGGGGGAGCCTTGGTTTCCGCGCGGAGTAAACCATTAGAATTGTCCAATGTGTCACTAACATCAAGCAACGTGTGTCGAACTTCTACCGATTCTTGCTTTGTTGAAGGTGATGGAGCTGAAGGACGTTAACGCGTCCCTGGTGGGCCACAAGAACTCTCGACAGAAGATCCAGCAGGTGGGTAGTTGATGACGTATGTATGCCCGTCGGCTGTGTCGAATTTCCGGTCTTTTCCGGTCGAGGAGACTGACGACGCAAACGGGATTGCTGTATATTTCGATGCGAGCTGCCCCCGCCCGCCATGAACCTACTGTATCTTCCCGTTTCACTGCGCTATTCTTTGGTAGAGTGAATGGTTGCCCTTCTATTCCGGCACGAAAGCTTTCCACGTCGACACACTTCTCCAACGGGCATTGCTTTACAATAGCCTTGACTCCGTGCCACAGCACTGCTGTAGGTTTTCAACTCATATTCCTCGGTCGTCCTCGATTGCTTTTTTTCTATTTTATGTACTATTAATATGTCATGTCCCCAGGTCCAAAAGCTTAAGGACGAGAACAATCTCCTCTCGCGGAAGGTGAAGGAGCTCGACGACCGCCTCTTCAGCATCAAACGCTCGGGCTGCGGTCCCGGATGCGGACGAAACGCCCCCGGCAGCTCAGCCACAACCACAAGAGCTACTTCCCCCAGCGCTGGTGCTGGTGCCAGGGAAGGCGAAGCATCGACGTCGGCCAATTCCTCTTGGGCCGGGTCTCAGCAATCAGTGTCCCCGACCCTCAAGTCGCGTGGCGGTGGCGACACGGGAGGGGGTGGGGATAAGGTCGGCTCGGCCGGTAAGACCTACAACCTAAGGCGCAGGCCCAAGGTAGCAGAGGCTGCGTCGAACGCGGGGGCGGGCGGGGTAAGCACGAGGGGTAGGAGGATGGGGCTAAGGGATATGACCAACGCCAACTAGAAGAGTCGATGCTGAGCTGCGTGGGATCGGATTGGCGTGTCTGTGTGATAGCGGAATATTGGAGTTGGCCCAGGGAGAGGGTGTGGAAATCTAACGTTGCGTGCGTTCATCGTGCTATCTCCCTGGTGGACCAAGGCCTGGTTTGAAGTTGGATTGGGTGTTTTTGTTTTTTGGGATGGCAGGAGGGCAACTCGACTGGATCGCACAAGAGATGAGAGGGGAGTACACCTTGCTTGTAAGGAAGAAATATTCCTATCTCTGTCGTATTTCACATTTCACACAGGGGGAAGAGGGGGCAGGGGGGGGGCGACCGTAGATACGTGGGACCAAGTCTGCCGGGTTTTTATGTTTCCATTTCGCTGCAAACATCGTCGGCATGCCTGTACAGGCACCGAACACCTCATGCCGGTATGAATACGCGTGGCAGTGGGGACAGCGACCTAGAGCCTTCCCAATGAACGCTTTCCAAGCACCCAGCTATAGTACCTCTGTATGGTATTTGGGGTAGTACCCTTGGGTCGTGCTGTGGGTGCCAGGCATACATACGGTGGAGCCTAAAATTCCGAACTGTAGCATGTTTACGCGCTGTTCTTTATCTCCAGTTCATTGTTGCGTATTACAGGCTACCAGTAGATACAAGTCTCAGTGTGTGTGTGTGCAGGGACTTCGCGGAGGGACATGGAATGCCATGCCATGCTATGCCAGGACGGGAAGAAGAACGTAAAAAACGTGATTGATACAGAGGTCGCCGTAATTGTCGTGGAAAAGTTGTAAAGGATGAAGGATCGACTGTGGCCGAAGAGGCCGAAGCTTGGTTTGAATTGCTGCACGACTTGTGTTGTGAAATACTGGTGCTTACAAAGGGCACTACTGTAGTTCCGATCCAGCAACAAGTAGCGTGTAAGTCGCGGAAGATCAATAATAGTTCGCGTAGGGTGTTTGGTTGCGTCGTACATACGTCCTCGCTCGGCGCGGGCCTGACTACAGTAGAACGCTAGTTGGTTTTTTGTTTGTCTTCTCTCCTGATGATGGAGATTTCAGATGCAGACGAGACCGCTGCTGTCAAATATTTTTGAAGCATTTTACAAGGTGCGAGGGGTTCGTTCCCATCAACCGGGACTTCTACAATCGTCCAAATTACATGAAGAGATTGACTCAAATTGTGTCAGGAGGGCTCACGATGAAATGTATCCCTCAAGTTTATGGCAGCAGGCGTCAGTCGGAACAGTCTCACATCTTTGTACGCAATCATCAGTACCTTACTTAGCAAAGAATACATATATATCTATATACAGTACGACGTGAAATAGGGACAAACGCAGCGATATCCTCTTTGGTTCGACATATTTTGACCATTTATGCACACCTTGGTCGACTTCGGGAATTTCGGGCAGGGGGGGGGGATGAGAATCGAGGTTTGAGGCATGAGTGCCAGCGGCGTTTGTTTGCTTTGTTGCTGTGTTGCAGTCAAGGTACATACATGTAACTGTGGGACACAGACGGTACGGTAGTGTCTGTGGTGTAGGGTAGCTCATGGATGGTAGGTACGCGTGCTTGCTTGAGGCACGATGGAGTAAAATACTGTTTGCTACTTTAATCTATGCCGCGTTGAATGTTCGGGAGATACTCTTGTTAAGTTCTTGGAAAAAAGGTATATAGACTATCCCTGATTGACGCCTGCTGCAGCTAGCTGCACGCCTTTGCTCTGTGTGCAACAATATTTCGCGAATCATCCCGAGAGCGAGCGCAAACAACGTACGTACGGCATCCTGGGCTCGCTTGAACAATCCGACAATCTCTGCACGCCAATGCTGCAGGGTTGCAATATATCAAGATTTTCGGATGCCCCTGGGCGCTCATTCTCAGAGTTCTTTTAAGCGGGGGTGTTTCCACATGATAATAGTAATCCTGATACATCGTTCAAAAATGATTAAAATGAATGTATACTTGACGGAGCACTGTTCCCCGGTACAGTGCCTTTCTTTCTGCTCCATTTCGACAATACCGTGTCTCGACTTCGCCGTGGCCAGTATTATTTTTCCCTCCAAGCTTCATACAAGGAGCAGTAACCCAGCATTCAATTCACTCCGGTCAAGGGAACCACAATAATAGTCATCCTGCACGAAGCAGTCTCAGATGACCAAGTCCGAAAAGTCGTACCACCAACCTACCTACAGCAATCTGCAAATAAATGCACCTCTCGAGTAAAAAAGGCGCGAGGGTGAGGAAAATAGTTGACTCGTGTGCATTTGCAGCTCCTAAAGATGGCCAACCCTTACTGGAAGTCTTCTACAAGCTGGTTCACGGAAATGAACCCAAATTTATTCAACCACAGCTGCCAGACGAAGTATGTACACAATATTGACACATGTTGTATCATAGTGACCCCCATGAGCAAGGGAACAAATCGTCGTGGCCGGAATTGCAATCAGAGCCAGCCGTGGCCACGATGCAATGGGCATAAATAAATGTGTCTCAGCCAATCAGAAGCTTTCAAAATTATATAAAACTACCAATGCGTGCAAAACCGCACTTCCCACCTCTTTCCACCGCAGTTCTCCACCAAAGCAATTACCATGCTCTTGGGGACCCAAAGAAGGAAAAATTGAAAACGGTCGTTGTGGAAGCGAGTTACGCCCAAAATGGTGGTTCGACTGCCGCGATTTGGCGTCGTCAATTTTCCATAGATTGTACGTTCGGGAAATAACACACACAGAGAGTCTCGTGTTTGATTGCCTTGTATATATCGAAATGAATATTGAAAAGTCCTCAGATTTTGATAGCATGGTGCAACAAAGTTCCGCAAACCGTAAAAAAAATTTGGTGATGTTTGCACTCCTGACCGGCGTATTGGGTCCCCCCGTACGGAACCCCCGAAAGCCGGTTGCAAATACATGAATTCCACTTTCTTTTTTCGTCCGCTCCGGGATAGTTAAATAACCCTTTTCCAGGAAGTTCTGTAGTAACACTTGTAAAACTGGCGCAGCACGGGGCTTTACTATGAAAAAGGGGCCACGGGGATCGGATTCTTCACTAATGTCAAGTACTTTGGGGAAAATCACGCTGAGCAAAACAAAAGCTGAAAAATTCACGCCGTTTTGAGGAGTTAGACTTTCAAAACTTGCACACATGTACATTGGGTACGTACGAAACGCTGTGCGGTGAGGCCTTTTTCATTTTCTTCGATGGTCGCCGGTTATTCGGGGTCCCAGGAGCCGCACACGACCCCGAAATATCTAGGACCCCGGACATTCGGGGACACGGCAAAAAAAAAGGACCCTCCACATAGCGTTTCGTATTGACCCAAGGTACATGTGTGCAAAGTTCCAAGGTCAAACGGTGTGAACTTTTGCTGCTGAATCTTTTTGTATCCATTTCCCTGAACCAGCTTGTAGGTGTCAACTTCGTTCCTTCTCTCTGATCTGAGACACATCTACTGCAGCTCGCATAACACTCTTCTTGGACTCACTCTGTCGTTCTCTCGTTCGGGGCGCCGTACTCCGTGGAACTTTTACATACTACCCGAAACCACCTCGTCCACGCGAAGTTATTCGGAGTTGCTTTCATTAACAAGTGCCAATGGGGTTTGTCTACTCCTTCCACAGAAACCTGTCCTTTCCGCTCATCATTCCGCTGTCCTCACTCAGTAGCTAGGCCAAATACTTGACGGCTACAACGCACGTACACTCACAAAATAATTTCCCTTGGCCGGTGCTAGAATGCTACCACTTTTGCCACAACCTGGTACAAACTAATCAACGCTGTTGCTGGGTACTCGGCAGAGTAACACTGATATACGGGGGCATCCGGGGGTAGTACGTGGGTGTTTCATGGATATGGTGAACATGGTGCGCGGGGTTCTTCTTGCCTCGTCCATGTCTCTCACGCGTTAAACTATTTGACGAGTGACAAACGTAGTTGACACGAAAAGAGCCTCGCGCAACGTGTTCGCCATTCCCATTTAACACCCACGTAGCCCCCAGCGGCCCCGTATATCACACAGTCCCCCCCCCCCCCATTCGGTTCAACACACGATCTACGAAGAAACCGTACTCGCAAATCGCCACGTCGAGCAAACGGCAAGAAATCAAACTCCAATGCAGGGTGCACTCCAAATGCAACACATGCAATTGTTTTTTTGTTTTGTTTTAAACCAGTTTCTCATACGACTATACTACCCAGTGGACAGTATGCCCCCAGGTTGTGTCTTCTTCACAAGAGAAAACATCTCAAACATAAAAAAAAACAAAAGTCGGTGACCATAATGGTCGAACCGCGGACTACAGTACGTCGTCGCCACCCTCGCCACCGCTGTCCCAAGGGGAGTCCAGCGAATTGTAGCCGGTAGAGGACTCAGACCCAGACAGCAAGCGGCCCTCCGTCAGTGTCGGCTCCCGGGCCTCCCCTGATGCAGTACGTGCCCGGTTGAAGTAATGCCACGGTATGCATAGGTAGGGAGGAGGCGGAGCATGTTGTAGAGAACATTTGGCGCAATTCTTCTCGTATTCTGGGTTGAATTCTGAAAAATCTGTCCTCTCTACTACGTAGACAGACTCTTTCGTGGAAGAATATACTGTCATTTACACTTACAAGAAACAATGATTGCAGTCAGTGGTGAGGAGAGAAATACTATGCCTATGCATACGCATGTGCGGCAATGCCCAAGAGGAGACGGACAGCGCTTCACATATTTTTACTGCATTATGTTTTGCCAGTTTTTTGGCACGATTCTTGCTTTCTTTGTGGTCTCAACATGCTCCGTTCGATTCTCACCCTGGCGCCGGCACCTCGCGCAACACAAGCGGTAAATCATGTACGCGATTCGAGGCATGGTCATGACCACATCGATGTCGGTGTTCAAGACCCAGCGGAGGATCCGCTCCAGGATGCCGACCGCCCGGTTCGTGGTGCCAACCATGGGCTGCTGCTGCTCCTCCTCCTTCTCCTGCTCCTCCTCGTCGTTGTCGACTGCCTGTTGCACGGGGCACGTAAACCAGCGGGGTACAGACTACGATTAGCTAAAATACGAACCATCATTTACATAATGTATTCTGTAGCAGTCGGCCAGCTGGGGGAACAACAAATGAATACATCTTTTACCGAGTCACGAATTCGGAATCGAAAACAATCCTGGTTGTTACGCTAGCAACGATACTGCAGTAGAATCTATCTACTGCAGAAAACATTCCTGGTTCACGCTAGCAACGATACGATGGGAATAGACTCCATCTACTGCTGTAAAGCACGGCATTCTACACAAAAAACCCGGTCGATATGCGAAAAATGGCCCCACTGGAAAGCAGCCGCCATCCTCTGATCTGTTCATCCGTTCCATTATCCCACGTGGTTGTCACGTACGCCTCCAGCCTCCAGCCTCCAATGTTCCATGCTTAAATATGCCTGCGCCCCAGTGGCCTCGTCAGCCAGACGCAAGACAGGTCTCGATGGGTGGGTTGCTGGTTCGCCACGAACTACAAGTTCCGGTTCGGCACGTCATGCGGCAGGACCTCTCTGAACCCTGAGAACCCCCTTCCTCGGAGTCCTCGCTGCCCAAACGCGAGTGTTTACCTCTACAAAGGCCGAGAACCAACCCCCTCGAAATCAGTAAACTATGTAGACTACATGTATTACATGGGAGACTATGTACGAGATGGCGTCCATGGTCTCTTGTCATCTGAAAAACGCCCCAAGAGGTACTGCTGTAAGTCGGTTGGTCGGTTGATGTTAGATATTTCAACTTTTTTTACGGAGTACTCCAAGGTATCTCGTTACTTCGCATACATTTGTAGAGATCGGCGATGCCGGCAATTCAGCATGGACCCTCGATGCTGGACGTAGACTGGTTAGGGTTAGAGACTGGCGCGTATCACAAACAGCCAACAGCTTCCATGATATGTAGATGGTGTGCGGCGTCGTGATTGTGATCCCTCGATCATGTTTCCTTTGGTGTTCGCACACGCCCATTTGTCTGACTTTCGCACATCTTTTGGTTGCAAAAGACGCATCATGCATGAAGTCATGACACAAAATAGCTCATCCCAAAAAGGCGATGGCATCGACAGGCCTCGCGATTGGTATTCAGGTGGTACGGGTATTAGAGGGACGACCAAGCGATTGTGTTCATCTGACCCTAGATCCCACCACAGTACCTCGCCGAACCACCAGTTTCATCACGTCACACTACCAGCCGGTAGTTTCTCATCCATAGCTTGATCCCAACTTTTTTCGTGAGTGTGTGTGGATATCTCTCTGCGTACTAGTCGAAGAGCACCGGAATCGATCCCATGTTCACCGTTCGAACAAATCCAGCGGGTTGATGTTGGTGGCAAATTTTCTTGGGTCTCTTTCCCGCCCATCGCATTGGTCTTCTGCACATACGAATGCCAGAGATATTTCATGAAAAGTGTAGTCTATCACTTGGAAACCCCGGGGCTATAAGTACCTCATCCTACACTGCATGCACAAAGCTCAGTTGGAGAAAAGACAAAACCCCACAATAGGTTGCCCGTCCATAGGCGATTCCGGTTGGTGTTTCAAACAATACGGAAAGGTGGTGTACAAAGGGATAAGGGATTCATGGCGTAGATGGGCATCACATCACACGCACGTACACGCTTCACGCAAAAGCTCCTCTTCGCAAACTATCTCACCAACGTATTATGTAGGGGGAAAGCTCGGACACATTCCTCGAACTCTCTTCCACAGTCAGCCAACTAGTAACTTCTATCATCTGTTCATCATGTCCGAGTGAAAGAAATCGTTGGCATCCACCAGTCTGAATTCTTCTTCCGACACTGGAGCTCCTCCCTTCATCTTAAGCTTGAGGTTGTAGCGGTGCAGGTCGCTCTTGTAGTGCTCTCGGTGTGCCCCCTGCGGTGTGTGCAATAGGGGATGACAACGGGGTTTGGTTAGCTCAAGCAGAGAAGTAGGGTGTGGTGCGTAGTTTCAGACAAGCAAGACACATCGATTCGCAATGAAAAAAAAAAAACACGGACAGGAGAGAAACGAAAAAAGTAACAGTTGAGATGAGATTACTGGCCTGCGAGTGAGTGCAGCCAAGAAAAGCAACGCATCTCCCCATGTGTGTGAACCACGTGATGTATACAGGTGACCAAAACACGTGATGGCCTTGTACGACAAGATTAAATTTTGACAAGGATAACCTTGGCATCCGAAATCATATCATTATCCACCTCACCGTGTCTGTGAAGGTCAGACCGCACGTGATGCAGCCCAGCCGCCTCTTCGCCTTACCAACGTCTCCGCCTCCTTGCTCACGGGTACCTCCATCTCGTTCTGCAGCTCCCGCTGCTCTGCCAGCACCCTCTGCGAAACGCTCTGCCTTCGCCTGCTCCCTTTTCTCTTGTCTCTGCTGCGCCTCCTGCGGATGAGTTCGGGAAAAACATATAGATGTGGATGGTCGTGTGTGCATCGTGTAGGATTGGCTTGGGACGCGTACAAGGCGCCCCGAAATTCTGCGGGCGGGTGGGGGGTTTGATGGGGGGATTGCTCAAATGAACGGCTTCAGTGAGACCAATCGTCTATGTGCATGGCCTGCGTCCAACATCACCTTTCTTTTAGAGCACGTAGTAAAACAATTCGTGCGGGCGGAGACGAGTTCAACCGTCAATTCAATCCGAGAAGATCGCAAGCCACGCAACAACCGAAAACAACGCTGCGACCTAAGCAAACAAATGAGACGCAAGCGCCGACGGCACAAATAACCAAACGACTACGATTGAACCTGTTCAAGGCAAGACAGCACGAAATACTCCAAAAAACGCGCACGACATGCACACCCCACTCGCAAATACGGCATGTACAACACCTTGCGGACGACGCGCAAGCAAGGATAAACGAGACACGGGAAGAAACCGCGCCCACACAACCCCGCCGTGACGTCTTTCCATTGGTCAGCCGGTTAGCGCGGTCAATGCTATAAACAAAAAAAATACAAACGACACACACACACACCTGTTGCCGTATGTCGCGCTCCGCAGCTTCTTCCTTCTCCCGCCGGCGTGCCCCCTTTCCCTTCTTCCCGCCGCGCTTGCCCACGCCCCCTTCCCCGGCCCCCCGACCCTCTCCTCGTGCTCCTCCACCTCCGCCACCTCCCTTTCGCCTGCCTTGGTCGTTGTCGTTGTCGTTGTAGTCGTTGGAGAAGCCAGGGCGTCCTTTGCCGCGCCTCCCGGCCGCTAGTTTTCGATACACCCAAGAGACAGGAGTTGGACGTGCAAACCCATGGATGGCATGAGAAGAGACCGAGGGAAGGGGCGTAATGAATGCCGAGAAGAGAGGAGAGAGAGAGAGCGGGGATGGGGTGACCGACTGATCTTGCCGTCTCTGTAGCTTGGTGGAGTTCCCTTGCTGTCAATGGCAATAGCACGGGTACAAATCGTGGGATAAACCTACGGGATGTATCGACCGGCTGGTGTATCTTCTTCCCCGTTCCTCCATGGTGGTGAACTTTTCCACATCACATGGTTCCCATCGAATACCAACTCACCCGGCATGATTAGCCCCTCCTCCTCTTCCTCCTCTGCATCTGCAGAAACGTTGCCACCACCAACAGCACCGCCACCCTTCCCGCCGCGACCTTTCTTGCCACGACTTCTTCCCTCCTCCTCCCCCTTGAGCTTGACGGCTAGCAACCCCTTCCTCATCAACTCCACGTCCATGTCCGCTTCGCCCTCCTGCTGCACAGACAGCTGCAGGACTTCAAGCGCGCACCGCCCGCTGTCAGCAAACACGGTCGTGGGAGGCGGGTGGGAGGCCAACAGCGGAGGAGCAGGGTAGGTACGTCGGCCAGTCGAAGGTCAAGTTCAAAAGAGACGAGCACGACCTGCACCCCATCCCATCCAAACGATATGTAGGCTGGTAAAAACAAAATTTGTTGACGCCCCTTCACTTCAGGACGTCCACGCAAAACGTGTTGCCGACATATCGCTCCCAGAACCAAAAAAACTAACATTAGACAGTTTCGGAACAAAAAAAAAGCTGAAATAAGGAAATATATTTCGAATTAAGCCATCGTTCTGAGGATCGTTCCTGACAGTCTCGCCAGAACCCAAGATAAGGGAAAAATAATCAGATTTAACAGCGGAGGGAGGCTCGTTTTGTGGAAAATTTTGCCAACTTTTCGATTTAAGCAACTTTCTTCGAAACAACACATCAGGCACCACACACAACACATCATCATCAGGCACCACCCACACGCACACACAGTCTGCAAGAACATGTCCAGCGGCCGCCCAAATAAAACCCAGCGCCCAGCGCAAAGGCCCTGGAGTTGGCGCGCCACCAACACAAAAAGGGGGAGGCTGCACGATCAGAAAACCAAGTTGGGGTTGGTTGTTGCGCTGCTTTGGGTCAGCAACACGCGCCCGTCACACACAGATTGAGGCAAGGGGGAAGAAGAGCGCCGGAACGAACCGCGGCAACCGACGACGTAGTGGAGGTGGCAGCACCGCCAGCAAAGGCCAGAGAGGAGGAAGAGCACGCAGTTACCTTCTGGTGACGCGCCGCAAGAAGAGTATTCTCTGCTTCTACTAGAAGAGAGAACGTGTTTGGCTTCGATGTGCCCCCGCCCCCCAAAAAATACCCTCTCCCCAACGCTTGAAATGCGATACACAGCACTTCGTACAGGGCTGCCGGCCAGTATGTGTACTTCCTGTCGCTGTTCTGGTGCGAGTTCGTGTGCTGGGGTTGAGGGGGCAACACAGACACGCACACGCATGCATGCACGCACACTCAACAGCAGTGGGAGCGCTGTGATCAGGGTGCAGCTGTCACGCAGCGCACCACAAAAAACAGCAGTAACTGCGAACAGGGGAAGTTCGTTGGGTGACTGTCGTCCCACAGCCAATCACATGAAGCCGCCTTAAATCCGAAAATATTCGCCTGCAGGAAGTTTCCAGGAAACTTTCTTATCTCAAAATCTGTTTCCTTATCTCAGCAAATTTGTAGCCCCAGTCCGAAACTGTGTATTACAAAACAAAAAACAAATGACACACAAAATTCAGGTCGAGGCTGATACACCTTCACCTAACAATGCCAGAAAACACGACTAGTATGCCACAAAACGCGCGAACCCACCTTGCGACAGTCCTGACGGCCTCCTCGACGTCCCTGTACAAACCGGGGTCCACCAGGAAATCGAGCACCTCGCCGCTGCTGCCCGCCGCCGCCCCCCCCCCGTTCTCGAAGCTATCCACTCCGAGCTCCCCGAGGGCCTCCTTAAGCGGCGTCGAGTCTTCGTCCGTGGTAATTCTGAGCTTCATCTTGGCCCTGTCGATGGGCATGACTTCCTTGAGCTTCTTGATAACCTCGAGGGCCTACAGGAAGGAGGGAGGGAGGGACGGAGGGAGAGGGTGGTAGGCAGTGGTGGAGCAACATGGTTGCGGTGCCCCCACACGTGGGGCTGTCGTGCGAGTCAGCCTAGACAATACTGTACCCGATAGGTCATCACGCACCAACGCTGAAGGGCCAATGCTCTCCGCACTAACGACGGTATGCCTGATTGTGTAGCCTTTCAACCATCGCACGCACAGAAGGTACGGTCCACCGCCGGCAAGCACGCAACGCGAGTTCAAGTCTATTTGCGCACATGAGCGCTTCAACGGTAGCCCTCACACGTTATCTCTCTCGGTCTCTTTCCGCAACAAACCTACCAGCCCAAACCTAACAAAAGCAAAAGCAAAATCGGATACATCCACAACGGCCCGATCAGATCCTCCTCCCTAACGTGGTCGTTAGGCATCTCACTACACCCTATCACGGGAAGAACATGACGTGACGCACCTGTTGCTTGGCGCTCCTTGTCGGATGAGCCGAGAAGTGGACATCCCGCATAGCCTTCTCGATCATGGAAACCTACAGCAGAAACAAGATTACACACATCAGATAAATCAGATAGATGGCACCAGGCACCAAGTGACAAGTGGCCCACGCCCGGGGGAAAGACCGTGGTGAGCGGGGCCAATCAGGTGGCGCCATTTTGTGTTGCTGGGTGTTTCGTAACCTACAAGCAACGCTGACAAAAAGAACAAGCCGTTGACCCCGGGACGGCCACGAAATGCATAATATTCACATCCAACATATTGCATCAAAACATCTAACATCGAACATTCTACTAAAATACTACATCACATCTTGTATCTTATATTTTGTCGACCAGCGGCATTCACTTAGCAAGGCCACTTGAATCCTCCCAAAGATAGACCCCCTCCTTCCCCCCCTACTTGGTGGTTTGCAGCGCAAGGGTTCATGGGGCATGGGGCATGTTTTCCTTCACTTCAGAGACAAACATACAAAAAAACGTGGGATAATCCTGGTTCCATCTCCCGGCGGAATACCCTCGTGGGGGCCCGCGTGTACGGCACTCACTGTGTAGGGGCGGTTGGAGGCAGGGTTGACGCACTTCTCCGACACGATGGTAGCCACGTCGCGGAACACGCTCTCCAGAGCTACCTGCCGCTCCTTGTCCGAAACCTGAGTGTGCCGAGCCGAGGGCGGCGAGAGCACAGAGAGAGAGAGAGAGACAGACAGACAGAGAGACAGACAGAGACAGAGACAGAGAGAGAGAGAGAGAGAGAGAGAGAGACAGACAGACAGAGAGAGAACAGAGAGAGAACAGAGAGAGAGAGACAGCAAGCAGAATATAGCATCGCTTGCGGGGTTAAGGGTTGCGGGACATAGATGATACCCCCGAGAGTCTCTTGCCAGGAAAAACGGTCGGTTGCTAGATCCCGCGCAACGGTTCAAAAGTAACCGAATATTCCTCCGACTAGACCGCCTCTCCTCCACTTCCTTCCTCTCTACAGTACTGCTGCACTCTCCAAGAACACGTGGGAACAAACGTTGGCCTGCCCTTCGAATGGAGTTGATTTCTGAGTAAACTGTACACGCCGACCAATGTGTCTTCACCTCTCCCCACAACGCCCTTTCTATCCGTCAGATTCTGCCCCTCTTCCCCGTACCGAACTATTTATCATACGCTTCGCCCTCTGTCTCGCCCCGCCCCGCCTTGGCTAGGTGTAGGTGTATCACTGCTGTGGCCTATGAACTCCGCTGTTCTTACTGCTTCTGGTGGTGGTATCACCTGCATCTCCCCCTTGTCCAGAATAATCCGGCACGATTCGAGCTGGTTGTCCGTGCCGAAGGCCTTCATCAAGTCTTTGTTCTTCGCCAGCACACCCTGTTGAGTGATTGATTCATTCGTGCGCAAGAAAAATGCACTGGTTGTAGGTTCACCACACACGAGAGAAAAGTCCAACAAGGGCACGTTACCGGAAACCCAACCGTTAGCACCACCATACGCACGCACGCGTACATGAGGTACTAAAGCGGTCGAGACCTCATTTCGAGGCCACCGTGTTAACGCAGATTTCTCATCTCCTCCTCCCCGCCTCCCTCTATCAGAATTTCAAAATTCGAACCGCGATGACACCGCTCGGTGAACTGCTGTGTTGCGTTCGTACGTGCCTCCCCACAAAAGATCAGCAGCGTACTGCCTCCTGTGCGGTCTCATCGGCCATACACCAGCCTGTTCTAACACATAGTCGGAGACACCCTATGCCTCGTGTACCGTGCTCTGCTACAGTAAAGGTGACGGGTTTTCCGGAGATATCTCTTGCCATATTGTATTGTACCCCTTTGTGGTCGCCAAACCGAACACTCGTATCACGATCCCTCATGACTCTATACCACAGCAGTACGTCTCCGAGTCCACCATCACCTTGGACACATTCTCGAAGACGCTCTCGATCTGCAGGACCTCGTCAAGGTCGGTCTCCACCCGGTTGCGCCAGTTCACCACCTTGTTGCGGTAGCAGGCGATCTCGAAGCGCTTGCCCGTTTTGTTCAGGCGGACGACGGCGACGTTCGTCAGCCTCACCTACGGTTGGGCGGCGACAGCGGTCGGTCAACAAGGGAGAGGCAAACAAGAGACGGTCACACGTGTAGCGTAGAGGGGGGGGGTCTTCGAGACATGTTCAGCTGTGTAGTGGTCATGGCTAGCCGCCTGTCGTACTCCACAAAATACACAAGATCGGTGAAAAAAACGTCTTTGGCGTCGTCAAAATCAAATCATACGACCGGGTTGGGTTGTACGCTGGAGGGGTGTACGGCATATTTTTGTGGGGGTGTTACATGTATCTTGCTGGAATGCAGGAGGAAGTCCGGCTGCTCGGCTGCGATTCAAGTTGTGCGCCAACTGCGCCAGGGGCTACCCAGCAATCAAAATTTGTCAATGCGTCAACAAGCCGAAAACATCCCTCGAGGGCAGGCAAACATGGAGATGCCATGTGGAAGGGGTTGAAAAGGGGGGTCGTCCGGATGTGCTTCGGTCATACAGGCATAGGCAGAAGCATGGCTAGCGGCCGAGTCGGGATGTTCAACCGGGCCAGACACTAAACACCACGCAACACAGGCATAAGCTATCAGCATTGCTATGCATATGAGTAGATTATTGAACAGACACAACACGTGACAAAGGTGCCCTCCACGAGCACCTGTACGTGTGTTTCTCGTTCCTCGTGGCGGTATGTACCTTGCCTGAAAATGAAATAAAATGTTCGAGATTTAAAGCTTGGTGTACCGTGCCGCATGCAGTGGGAGCGCAAGGAACAAGGGTGGCACCAATGTCAAAGCCAACCAACCTCCTTCTGAACGCACACTCTGCTCCATGCCCGCGTTGGACCATGCTCTGAGCGGATGATGCGTTTGCAGTTTGCAACAATCAAACGCTGTGGTTGGTTGTCAAGGTTAGTAAACTTTGGTGAAACGAACGAATGCGATCGACACCGGACAACGCTCCGCCCACACTGCCGATTGCGGGTGATCGGTGACCAAGGCGTACAATAAAGCGTGGGGACACTGCTGTTGTCGGTCGTGACAGCAGCAGTACACCAGTGAAGGTCTAGAAGGTTCCGGGTAACACCAAACACCAAACAGCGCCGAGGCTCCCCATGAGCCACAGACTGGAACTTGGCAAACAAATAAGTCAGAAACCCCAAACGCACCTGGTTGACCGGCTGCGTGATGGCGCGGCTCATGGCTACACAAGGAGGTTGCGCTGTTCTTGTGAGTGAGAGAGCGGGAGGTGGCAGAGGTAGCCAGCAGCAGACAAGACGAATGAGCGTTGTTGCCTGGTGGCTCCGTAGATTCGCAGAGAAGATGCGGCGGAATAGCTCCTGGCAACGCATTGTACCGCGTGACCATGACACACTCAGATTCTCTCGCTCTCTCTCTCTCTCTCTCTCTCTCTCTCTCTCAATGCCCCAGAGATAGGACATGGCCGACTTGCAGGAGGCAAGACGGGAGTACGCCGTGTCGAAATCAGCAGCCCTGAGCACGCAGCTACAAGAGATATCGGTTGCCAAGTTCGAAGTGGAGCACAGTCACCGACAGGTAAACCAAACAGCACAGGCGTATTTGTGCGCGACAGACAATCATTTACGTTGTGTATCACGGCACATCGTCGTAGTGTCTAAGCCAGCATACTACCCGTCAGTCTCGCCCTGCCGCTGCCCGTCTTGCATTCATACCTCTGGTTTGACACGTGTATCCATGCAAGGTGTTACTCACTATAATCATGCAGCAGCAGTCTACATGCAGCGCAGCGCCAGGCGCCAGGCGCGAAAGCTGACAGTCCCGTGAGATCAAGGACGCACTGATGTCAAAAAAACAACAAACAGATGAGCAAATGTCCTATTATAGTTCTCCTTCATTCTTCGAAAACGACAGATCAGATGCACATCTGAACCCGTGTAGCTGGAGTTATGCCTGTGAGCTTCCGGGTAAATTGTAGCTATTGGTCGTACAATGTTTCAAGATAACACATACCAAGAGAACATATGGCCGAACGGGGGGGAGGGGGGTATGATGACAGGGGGGTATGATGACGTGCATACCATACGCGCCCCTTGTGGGGTGAGCTTTGCAGGGCAGACGAGACAGCTCTCGAGCTGTCCTGAATTTGAGACTGTTGCGACATTGCTGTGCTCCAGCAGGATTTTGTCAGAGATGCTCAGCGCAAGACGACAACATGGAAGTTACCAAGAGCCTCAAGATCGAACCTTCCTGCCAATGCCCAATGCCTGAAACCGAACTAGATAACTGACTTTCGCGACCACGCGATATCGCGATATCTTCCTCAGTTTGGAGCTCGCACGACGTCCCCTCTGCTATGAATCTCTGCGCTGAAAATAACTTTCGCACCGCCGCGACGAAGTGATGTCGTACAGTAAATATACGCATCAAGCATCAACATAGTTTGCGCGCAAGAATGGCGTCCACATGTCCACATCCACGGCCCTCTTATGAAATTCTCTCTATCGCCGCTTGCTTGCTTCACGCACAGCAACTTGAACGGTTCGCCAAATTGTGTGTGGGGGGTAGCCTCAGCACGCGAGACCTATTTCGGTCGTGGCATGGCCTTCTGCCCCGATTTGGTAGTAAGCACCATTTCACTACACTTACAAACGGCGGGCATCGGCGGTCCCCGCATATGGGCCTGCATTGCGGATTTTCAACGGTTAATTGTTCTACCGGACCTTCCATCCCTCTCGTGTGGAGGATTGCCGTTGTTGCACTAACTCATGACGCCACTTCTAGCACGACTCTATTAGCCGTAACTTGGATATCTCCGTAACTTGGATATCTCCTGGACATTTCCCACAACAAGATACACCGTTGTCGTTACAGTACAGTACAGTAACTACTGGTTCGCTCCGTGCACCTCTGTGGTTCCCATACGCCTAACAGGCCGTAGGCTCAAGGGGGGGAAGATGCTTAATTTTGATGTTGACGAATTTTGAAAACAAACTCAAGAGGTCCAGAAATTGCACAACAGACACACAAGACGAGTCGGAAGGCATCGCGAGTAACAGAAACCGTTGATTCTCGCACAGGGCGGCAGTAGAGGCTGCTCAAAGCATACATTTCACGCGTCTACCTCCGTCTACCTCCACACACCTCCTTTGAAATCAAGATAAAATTTCACACCATTCTAAATTCACGTCAATAGAGCCAAAACGGCAGGCGCTCAAATAAGGTCAGTTTTGAGGGTTAGGTTAGGCATTCTAATGTCAGCAGTAGAGGACATCATGAAGAGACGTCTTGCGTGCTGGCACGTTCAGGTTTGCTACTGGAGCTGAAATATCGAAGGTCGCAGCAGCCTCTGAAAACAGTCCGAAATCTGCGCCGGAACCAAGCGGCATCCAACATTTGTCACAGCCATGCTCGCCGCCACCGACCCCAATCTCCTGAACTACGGGTTTACAGCAGTAGCTGATGCCACTAGCTACTGCTGACACCCCTCCGTTCAGGGGTTGACGGTCCGTGGCGGTGAGCATGGCTATGACAAATGTTGGGTGCCGCTTGGTTCCGGCGCAGATTTCGGGCTGTTTTCAGAGACTGCTGCGACCTTCGATATTTCAGCTCCAGTAGCAAACCTGAACGTGCCAGCACGCACGACACCTCTGGTGTCCTCTACCGATGACAGAATGCCTAACCTTACCCTGGCGGGAAGGTTGTTTTCTTTGTTTGTATAGGATTAAGCTATGGGAAAAGGGCCAGCGTCAAAATTCCTGTTCTTCCCCCCGTTAACCCTTGAGCCTTGTCCTGGAGTCGCATGCTACTCTGAGGTGCCGCGTTCATGTGGCCCCAGACTTGGTGCCTCGCGTTGGGTTTGATCGCGTAATGATCCGGACATTCCGTGGTATACCCGTACAATATCTGTGCTACATGGGTTTGGAGGGCTCCGCTGAAAATCATCCACACACGTACCGATCTTCATCGTCTTTCGATATTTTCTCCGTTGCCGCTCTCTTCCTGCATATTCCCTGTATTGTGATGTGTATCCCTCGACGAAGCAGTTGTACGCAAAGCGAGGGAACCTCTTGTACCTCACGCCGCGGCCAGAGGTGAAGGCAAAGCTAGAAGCCAGCGAGAAGGGTGTCGGGGAGAGGCTGGCGAAGATGCAGAAGGCAGCAGAAGCAGCAGCAGCAGAAGCAGCAGCAGAAGCTTCTGAGCCTGCTGCGAGGCGTTGAACTCTCGACATGAGGCATAGCAAGGTCGATTGACCTCGTGTAAACAAGCCATGGATGAGCCTTTTCTCTAAGCTTCGGAGCATGAATCTACAGATTCGTCTGCCACCAAAATACTGCAATTGGAACTTATGCATCTCTACAATTGACGTATGAGTGGTATGGAAAAGGTCGTGTGCAGCGCGAGGGTGTTCACGGACCTATGCCTGCCATGAACGCCAGGCTGTCCTCTCTTGCGGCCGCTCGCTGAAGATGTGTACTTTGGTACACACGTAGAATTCTCAATTCAAGGTGTGAAAATTCCCATGCCATGCAGAAGGGCAGAAGAGGGGGGGGGGGGTCACTGGAAGGCGGTGCTGAACGATCCTTCTCGTCACGAGCAGATTCGAACTTTGTACGTTTGCATACTAGCATTCGGGTACGGCAAGGTGTTGAGGGGAGGCTGTCGAACATGCCCCCCTTTTCCTGGAGAGGCCTTATCCTAGCGACTCGTTTCTTCCTGTGGTTTCGTCGTGAACGGAGCAACGTGATGGAAGCGGTCTGGTGCTTCGATCGTTTTCATGTAGTATAGGAAAGTTAAAAGTTGCGTTGGGGTGTTCATGCACCCTAGTACCGATTGCACCGCGACCCGCCGTGTAGTGGCTAGGGATCGCACGCACAGGACATTCGCACAAGTCGCGACCACCTGGCACTCATGCGGCCACGAAGATCTTCCAACTCTCAGTTACAGTCAGGCAGTGCATCGATGTGGGCCCTACCAAGTCGGGGTGGATCATGCAGCCAACTTTTTGTACTGGGTAAATTCCTCCTTGCGAGCCCCTTATTTTTTGGTATGTAGTCATGGGCTTGGCGGGAGCAATTGAACAAATTCCAGAGGTTGACATTGACAGTTGATTGACAAATCAACCCTGCCTGGCGTGACAATTCAGAAGGTCAGCCCTGTCTGTTGGCGGACCCTTGGAGGCGCATGACGATCGCGACCTTGAAGACACCGATAGCGGCATACCTAGCGTCGGGGGTCGTCTTAGACTGTCTCTGTGTATCATTCGCCGATGTTGGTTGGAAAGAAAGTGGGTTTACTTTGGTATTGGTATTGCACAAGAAGGGCCTCCTCTTTCGTCGCCGATCTTCTCGGAGGGATACACAATGATGAGGGTGTTTGAGATCGTGTTTCGGCGTACGTACGATCTTGGTAGCGCAATGTTGAGCAGGAAAGGTCGGTCGAGTCACGAATTGTTCTTAATTCGCTTGACGGAACAGGCAGTACGCATGAGAAGTGAAGTTTTCATCGGCCAAAGTATCCCACGTTTCTGCGGATAGGATGCCGTACCGTTGTTTAGCGCCGGGTGGATGTTTTTACTAAGTCATGAGACTTTCGCATAGATCGCTGTCAATTTTCGCCTTTATGGACCCCCCGAGGAAATTATTGAATGAAGTTTGGAGCTATGGAAGGAAGGTGATCTCTTTCATTTTTTGTTTAGGCAAAGCGCAGCTTTTTGCCACTTGTCACCCATCACACCGAACCAACACAACAACTCAACCCGGGATACAACGAACTGTAGCTGTGCAATGGATCTTGCCTCTGCGCGCCGCAGGTAGCATTCTTACATGTAGTGTCAACGGCCACTTGATTGCGCCTTGTTTCTTATTCAGGCAAGATTCTTTACCTATTTTTTGGGACACGAGGACAGAGAATGAGGGCTCCAGATATAGAAGTACATTGCATCGACCCTTCTTCATTGTTCCTGACTCACCTGCGGCGCTGGTCGCCGTCGCCATTTATTTCCTAACGTCGAGGTACGGGTCCATTTGTATCATTCAATTTACATGATTCAGCTAGGATAGGCTAGACAATACTCTGAGCAAAAAACACACAAATCGTGTAGACCAAGGCGTTTCACCCGCTGGTGCCTGTAATAACAGATGTATGTATGTACCGACCGCATGACGACGGTGTCAACATACGGGCTGCCCGCCCCTGTCACACTCCGTTTTCTTGAGGGGACTCACTGTAAGCGATCGCAGTTTGGTCAGATATTTTTGCATCATTTTGCTTGCTGGAAATAGTATGTTTGCGTGGTACCCTGTAACATGTGAAGAAAATCGATCATCTTGCTCAGCACGTCTGTCTGTCTGTTGGTTTCACCGTACGTACGTACGTACGTACGTACGTACATAGCAGCATGAACAAGTACGTGCGCTGAGTCGATCGATCATGTGTACCCCGGCGGCGTGTCACGGCTCGCCGCGTGTGTATGTACGAAACAAAAACGACATGTCGTAATGTGGTAATGATAGCGGGACTACATGTGACTGCCTACTTTATTATCGCAGCCAACCACACCTCGTACTACTATGCATACGCTTACAACAACTGTAGTGTAGTCTATGTACATGCTTTTTGGTTTGTTTTTGGGGGTCATTTTTACAGTAGATGTTTATGTTTGAATCCATTCGTCCGTCGGTCGGGTCCCTCCGAGTCATGTTCATTGTTGCCAAGTTCGTGTTTGGCATGTGATCAAGGGTGCGCGCAAAATGATTTACCCACCTATGGCAGTAGTGGGGCCAGCCATTTGTGCACGGAACAACTGGAAGAAGGGAGGTAGTGTTCGTATGTACAGCGGTACATTTATACTGCTGCTGAGCAGGTGGTGGTTGACGGAGATTGGCGGAGCGATTTGACAGAATGTTTGGCGGGTTTGTTGAGGGGCCCCGACCATCATGTTGTCCCTGAACGATCATGTCGCCGGAGCCCCGTCGAGCGCATGCAGTACACCAACCAACAGAGTAGTGTGGTCTGTGGTGGCACCTTGCCTGTTGCAGCCAGTCAATGCAGCAGTAGACCTGCATCTTCTCTAGGGATTTCGCATCTGCAACACGGAGTACCTTGCTCTGCTACTGTGCTGCTGCTGGAGAAGCCCAGGGCGAGAGAGGGAGAACAACGCCCGCGCAACAGAAGTCACACCGCCTGGTCGATGTGCCTCAATTAATTCAAAATGTCTGTAGACCGCGGCGCCGACAGCAGCGGCAACACCAGTCATCATGAGGGCCAACCCGTCATCGTATGTGGACAAGATGCAGGTGGCAAGACCTACCGTTCTGCTATGGTTACGATGGTGAGACATAGGCGAGCGCCGCGCTGCGCACGTGTGTTGGCGTGCATGTACGCATAGGCCGCTCTCGTGCCCGCCGTGTGGGTGCGTGCCATGCTTCATGTTGCAAGCTGCGCTGGTATTGTCTGTTGCTGGTTCACATCCTCCTAAAAGGCTGTCGCTTGCTTTAGTACGGAGTATCAGCATTCGGTTGTTCTCTCCGACAGCGGCCCTCTAGTTGCTTGATTAACTTTCTCTAGTGGAGCTGCTGTTGTTGGCGTCTGTCGGCGCGCACGGATGTACGCATATACGTTGTACCCTGCGCCGCTAGCGGAGTAACTTTGGTGTTGGCAACATGTTCCTTGCTTTCACGTTGCTCCGCCGCGTCATCATGAGACACGAGGACACGAAAAACAAAAATCCTTGTAGCCTGCACGCCCGTTACAAGCAGTCAAATCGAATGGCAGCTCGCTTTGTGTTAGCATACGTCATACAATAGATGGTTTGTTCACGGGAGTGTGTCATCTTTTCCTTTGTTTTTTTATGGTGTACCTGGTGCTACAGCTGTGCTGGATAGAAAACCATTTTTCCCACACACGTACCTGTACACCGTTCTGATTCCCTAGGGCAATGCGTGCGTGTTGTCATGTACTGTATACATAGGCGACAGAGCACATCACACCCCCCTGGGCCGATTTTCATGCTCGGTTACTCCACAGCAGAACAAGTGTTAGTGTGGTATTGATTGTGCCAATAGGCGGTGTTGGACCGCCTCGTCTTAAAGAGGTTTCCCAATTTCGAAACGTACCGTTTGATTTGTACTCTTTGGAGATATCAAGCTAGAACTTGTTGGGTTGTTCCCGAACCCAGTTTTTTCACCGTCCGTCGATGACATCTAGGTTAACGCAACAGCGTGCATGTCACGCACGGGAGAATTTTCCTTCTTGGTTCCTCCACATTCCTTCTTCCAAGGGGCATCCCCCGCTGACCCAAACGCACACAGTTAATGATCAACCTTCTCACATCACATAGAAGATCTCGGTGGTCGTGACACTCCAAAAAAACTCTCATACTTCCGCTTCACCGCTTCCCTCTCGAACCTACGCAAAAGGAAGTCCGTGCTCATTCCTTCCTACATGGCCGTGATAAGTTTTAGTTTCTCTCTTTGCTTTTGTCCGCATTTGGCTCAAACATTCTCCCTCAATACCATGGCTACCATAAACTACAGTACCCGCGTACGCACTCCCTAACCCGGGTACATATGATAGCTTGGCGTTATCCCTCCACCCACCCACCCACCCCTTCCCCTTCCCCCCTTTAATGGACACTACACGTCACAGACGAATCTCGTCGAGGACTCCGATCCGAAAGAAGGAGAGGCCGAGGCCGCGACCGCGGCAGGCAAGGTTAAGGTTAAGGTTAAGGTTCGGTTCACTGGCACCTCGAAGGGCGCGTCGGACGAGATGGTCCAAGCCAAGGACGTGCTTCGCGTCACCGAAAAGACGATGCAGCTCAAGAAGGTACAGTGTCATCATACAGCAGTACTATCATAGAGTCCTCATTTGCCTTCGTTTCATTGACAAGCATGGGTCGCGCTAGCAGGCTGGATGGCCGATGGAAAAAAGTAAGAAAGACTAAAAAATAGTATAAATCGTATGCTACGGCAGGGAGACAAAAACACAAAGATTTGTACAAATGTGCCGATAGAAGGGTTTCTAGTCCACGGGCTGCCCGGACAGGGGGGCGCCCAAGATATTGAGCAGAAGGTTCCTGTGTTGCTATTCATTATTGTAGCACGAGTTCTTCCCTGATGAGAAGCTTCTTGGTGCTTCTACGGTTCGTCCTGCTGAACTTGCTGGTCATGCTGCCGGTGCTGATGGTGTTGTTGCTTCTGTTATGAATGGTGGTGAGTTGCACTTCATTTCTGACTTGTAGACCTCTTTAGATGTCGATGTCTCACAGCAGTATCTAGTTACGTGATGTGATGTGAGTGCGTTCGGCGTAAGCCCAAGCAGTCGTAGTTGCGTCTTCGCGGTTCTCAGCGTGAATCCCATGAAACTTCTGCTCGTTTGACGTTTGCACTCTCTCGCACACACACGAGTTGGTGTGGACGTTGGTCGTGCCGAACTTTGCGGTTTGTCCCATCCTGCCTTGTCCACCAACTGCCGAGCGTAGGATGGGAGGGGCGGTCGCAATATTCCACTGCCTCTGTACGCATTTTCTCTTTTTTTGCCGAATTCTGCTGTTTCAATTGGGCAACGATTTGACCGTAGGTCATTCTTGCCGCCTTGTCGGCGTCTCCGACTGACTCGATGGCTCTATGGCACGTCGTGTTGTTTTGAGCGTCACTTTCCACATCGTCCCCGCACGTCACGTCTTGGTGTATCTCCCTCATGAATACGCCAACGCCACGTGTGTGATTGGTATCGTCATCCGTGTCATACTTTTGTGATGCGTGTTCCCTTCCGCCCTCTCGAAAAAACAACAGGAGTACGAGGCGCGGAAAGGAAAAGGACACAAGCCGTCAGGAACGGGCAGGGGTCGCCCACCGGAGAAGAAACCAGCCCCGACGGAACCGTCCACAGCAGCAGCAGCACACGGAGGAGGTAAAGAAGCGAGACTGCTTCTCGGTGCGCAGGCTGGTGCAGGAGCACCACCAGTAGCACCAACAGCAGCAGCAGCAGCAACAACAGCGCCAGCAGCTACAGTAGTGACAGGCGCTTTGGCCGGTGAGAATCCTTCCTCCTTCCTGCCGCGGGCAACGATAGAAGCAACAGCAACAGCAGCAGCAGCATCAAGCGGCCTCAGCGACAGCGGCAAGCGGACACCAGGTGGCCTAGTGCTGTCGAGGCCTTCACTTTTGCCCTTTGCTTCCGCTTCCGCTACCACGGCTAAGTCCAAGTCAGGGGTTACGGTCGGTTCGACTGTACCGGTGGAGCGCGCTGCTTCTCCTGACGGAAGCAAGAAAAGCAGGGATAGCAGTAGTGCCAGTGATGTCGATGGTGGTGTTGGTGGTGGTAATGGCAGCACCGAGGCGAGTTCCTGGTCTGGCGATGTCATGAGAAGCGCCAGGGGTGGCTGCGATAGTGACAGCAGCAGACGGCCAGGGGAAGAACAAGAAGAACAGCTGCAGCCGCCGTCGTTCCCGGACATGGTGGTCGAGGCCTTACACGCCTTGTCCGATTCGAGAGGGTCGAGCAAACTCGCGACCGTTAAGTGGCTGAAGTCGAGCAGCCGGTACGGGTGGATGGCTGCTCCTCCGGACGAGGCTAAGTTTAAGGCTAACGTCGCCGCCGGGGTGAAGCAGGTGGGCCGATGGCTTGGTGGGATAGTATACTGTATACTGTATGCATGGGAGGGTTAGGGTTCCGTGAGAGCCGCCGGCGCCATGTGGGGAATACACTTGGACGGTTGCCCGTCCCTCTGGTAGCACGTTCTTGGAACCGAAACTTGGCCTGTGTTGAGCAAAAGTGCAGGCATGGTGACGTGCCTGGGTATGTTTTTCCCCTCTCCGTAACTTATCAAGACCTGCCATACTCGTGTCACTTGCGAGCAGGTGAAAATATTTTGTTTGTCCTGTCTCCCCGCTTTGTGGTTTTTCGTTTCTGCCGTGCTCGCCTGTTCTTGCGGCACGCGCGTGTTAATCTTCTCGCCCCTCTTGGCGTTGCCCTTGTGTGACCACTCAGGCGCTTGAAGAAGGGAAGGTGGTCCAAGTTCGAACCAACTATCGGATCTCACCGGATCACGCGAGAGCTCTCAGTCTCGGTCTCCCCACCAAGCCCAACAAGAGGAGGAGAAAGAAGAGCTCTACCACCAGCGGCGGGAGCCCTGATCCTACCCGTGATGCAAGACCTGCTGTTGATGACGATGATGATGATGATGATGATGATGATGATGCTGCTACCGCTGCTACCGCTGCTACCGACGGCACTAGAATGGACGACACGGAAAGGGAATCAACTCTGTGTGGCGGCGGCGGCAATAGCGGCGAACGTGGCGGCGGCGATGGCGACAATGACGACGAGCCGACAACGACAACGGAGATGACCGTTGTCTCGGCACGCGTCGAAAACCCACACACCAACACGGGGGCCGACGATGACAGCAGTGCTCCTGGACCCGCTACAGGCGCAACACCGGCAGCGAGTAGCATCAGCTCGGCGTGCTGGGAGCCCCCGCCCGAGTCATCACCGCCCCCCCATGTAGGTGACGCCGGCGGCGGCGGCGGCGGCGGCGGTGCCCCCTCGCATGGCGTAAAGGAAGCGGTCACGGAGGAGGAAGGGACAGGGGAGCTGGCGTGGGCGGCGGGAGAGGAACCCAAGCCGAAGGCGATCAAGCGGCCCACGGGGAGATCGAAAGGACGAGCACCGAAAACGATCGACGGTGGGGGGTCCAGCACCTCTGGGGGCGGGGGGGGGGGTTCGAAGGGGTCGAGTGCGAGCCGGAGCCAAGCGCTGGATCTCGTCGAGGATGACGTCTTGCATGCGAGGGAGCAGGAGACGCAGACGGGCGGCGGCGCCACGGCCGAGCCGCCGCTGAGGCCGGCGCGACCGACCCCGATAAATCGATTGCGGGTCTCGGCCGGGGCGGTCGGGGATCTGGTGACCGTGTGGGACTTCCTCAAGGTGCTTGCTTGGTCGGGCAGGAAGGCGTTTGTCTTGGGGGCCTCCCTCTCTTATGTCGTGCTACCGCCTTGGGGTGTTTTGGATGGAAGGTCCCGGCCGCGGAAGAGGCGCGGATGGTCTGTGCTTCTTTGCCGTTCTGCGCGCCCCCCTCACCATGATGTATTTTCTTGTCTGTTTTGTGACGTCTTGGTGGTACTGTACGAAGGCCACACACTGCACTCACTGCTGCTGTTTTGCTGCACGTTTTTGTTGGTCACATGTTTTGGGGCCCTCTCTGTTGCTGGCTGATTGGTCGTTCCACCTTTTCAACCATGAGACTATCCTCTCTCGCACCCTGTTTTTTGTGCCTCCACCAATTTTGTCTTCGACTGTCGTCGCCGTCGCCGTTATCGTTGTCGAACCTCATGTTGATGTTTGCAATTGTCACTTTTTTCTTTCCGAAAGACGTTTGGGCAGGAGCTGAACTTGAAAGAAGCTTCCGTCCTGACGTTGGAGGAGTTCGAGACCGCTGTCCTCTGGAGCAGTAGCAACAATAAGAGTAAGAAGAGCGTGCATCCCCTCATCGCAGGTGCGTGAAATCGACATAAGATCAGAAACTATGTTGGTGGTGGTGTTGATGAGGAATGTTGTTAATGTGTTGATGTAGGTGACGATGATTGTGGTGGTCATAGTTGTTGGGGTTGTGATGTCGCCTCAAACTTTTTTTGTGGGCTGTGACGACCAAATTTCGTTTTCTTTTTCTTTGAGCGCGAAAGAGGTGACACTGGGTACTGTATAGTCTAGGTCAGACCGGTTTTCAACGTGACTTCAGTTCCCCCCTCCCCGTCTTGCCAGAGTGTTTTTAGCTCGAGGGCGTCAGGCAGCGGCAAGAGTGACGATCGACCCAAGAACCGTGCAAGCTTTGCAATGCAAAATGTCTCAAGTCAGAGTTTTACCTAGATCCAGGTCTGAGTTTCATTACTTCTCTGTCTGCGTATGCGTGCTACAGTTCCTGATCATTTGTTTGTTTGGATTGCTCGTGTCGTGTTCTGTTTCCAGGATTACACTTGGCGCTGCTGCGAGAAGCTCTAGGGAGGAAAGCGGATGGATCGCCTTGCGGAGAAGCCGAGGCGGTCATGACGTCGATGGTGATTGTGATTCATTCAGCAATTAAGCAATCAAACGTTCTCACTGGTACGGTAGTCCATTTGGCAACAAGCAAGCTGACCATGGTGCAGTGGTGCTGTACAGTAGACACGTTGCAGCGGTTCTGCTGTTCATCGGTTTCAAATAAGCACAGCGAAGACAGGAACAAGTGGACCACCAACAGCACGTCAAGATGTGCATACACCCTTCAACGATATGCTGGGATGCTATCCTACGTTGTACCCCCACCGCTCCCTCCCACCGCCCACTCTCCCACCGCCCGCTGACCGCAAGGCGCCTGTCCGAAGGATCTTGGGAGATCTTCTCAATCCGGCCACATGGCCCGAGGTTATACGACGGTTCGCCATGGCCTACTTGCGGTACAGCCGCGCTCTCTTCTCGAGGCACGGGAGAGGGAGGGGGGAGTGGGTCGACGAAGGCCACCCGCTTGCTACCGCGGTGGAGGTGATATCTGGTCTGCCCTGCTCTGGTCTGCTCTGTTCTTGTTTTCGTCCTTTGTTCCTATTGTTGTCTCTGGTAGTATTGTGTTTTGTGGTTATTGCTACAATATTCATTTGTGTCCGATTCGTGCTCGCCTGGTGAGATTTTTGCGTCTTTGGTCATTCATTCCCACACAGGAGTGTTCATCATGGTTACTGTATGATGTTGCAGACCTGCGCTTGTGCTAACTCCTCTTGTATTTGTCACGGTACATAGGTTTGCTTCATTTTTGTCTGCCTCTTCTTGCAAGTGAATGGGCAGACGGTTTTATCCACGGCTGTTGTTGAGAACGAGTGAAGCGACCGCTTGTTTGCGCTCAGTGCTGACACGCGCGGCAAGATTGTATGACTCGTTGACTGTGAGGCCAACTTCCTCTATGCCCGAATTAGGAAATTGTGATACATCCTGTCCGGTGGGATTTCGTGTGCGGACGAGTGCAGACCCGCAAATTGTGAACCGCCACATTGTGAAGGCTTGTCTTTGCTGACGTTCAGCTTTGAGCACCCTTCTCGAGAGACCTGATTTTACAAAATTCCACTGTCCGCCTCGCTTCGTTGCCCTTCAGCATAGAGGTTGACGTGCTGTGCAAACATCCTGCTGGCTTTAAAACACCACGAATGCGAACACACAAAACACCAAACACAAAACGTTGTACGTGTGCTCGTTTCACTTTCGTTTCTGTAGTCTCGGCGATGTTTGTAGCCTTTGTTCGAAACCGCTATTGCCGTTTTCGTCACATCGTTGTTTTGGGACCATTTTCAGACTCTTTCCCGACGCGGCTACGGCGACCTCTCGTCCTCGGAGACGCTGTGCGTGCTCCGCTGGCTTTCCGACGTCCTCATGGACTCCCGCTCTGTGAGGGTAAAGATTGCTCAGCACGCGGAGCGACAGTCGAGGGCTACGGTGGGAGACAGAAAGAAGGCCGAGGAGCGAGACCACTTGGTGGCGGAGTCTCTCTCTCGCTCGCTCGCTCACAGGGGTATGGGTGAGTGAGATACAATTGTACGGCACCGGGGGGCAGGGAGGAGGTGAATTGGGGGGGTCTGTCTTCTCTCCCTGTGTTTTAGGTCTGCATAGTTCGACAATTTCCTGCTGAGGATGAAGATTTGTCTTTCACTCCCCAAACAAGGCAAGCATCGCCACGGAGACCAGGAGACAAGGAAACCAGGAGACAAGGGCGACTTTCGTGGAAATCAGCTCATTCGTAACCAGGCACTCCGTCGTGTTCATTCCAGATACGCCTGCGTTTGTCCGGGTGTGGTCTTTAGCTCGGGGCCATCGCTCCCTACCTACTCCTCCTGTTTCTCTCCGTTCCTCGTGTGAGCGGCACACGTGGACATGATTCACTACATCCCACCCATTCGCGGCCCGGCTCAACGGGTGGGGTGTAGTCGCCCATGTCCATGTGTACCGCTCACGCGAGGAACGGGATAGGTGGGGAGGGGTAGGGAGGGAGCGATGGTCCCGAGCGAAAGACCACACCCGAACGAAACGCAGGCTAAGTTAGGAATGAGCACGACGGAGCGCCTGGCTACGAATGAGGCGACTTCCACGAAAGCCTCCCTTGTCTCCGGTTCCCGTGGCGACGCTTGCTTTGTTTGGAGAGCGAAAGACAGTCTTGTTGTGTTGTTGTTGTGGTAGATGTCTCTCCAGTGTTCGAGTTAAGTCTACATGTAGTAGTAGACCCCTAGAAGAGAATACAATGTACCAGGTACAATGCCGTTTCTTATTTGGCCGCAGCCTATTCATTTCTTCCGTCCACCCCGCGCGCGCGGGCCTCCTCTTGCCTGCGACGCTACATCTGTAACCGCGACGCAGTCGATGAGACAGCAATCGGTAAGACAGTAGTCGGTAAGACAGCAGTCGATGAGCGTCCGAAGCCCGAGGGAAACGAGCGTGTGGCGGAAGAACGGATCGAGCAGGCGGCATCGGCAGTGGTCGGGGGGGACACAGCAGGGACCGCAGCGTCTGGTACCCCCCTTACCCTCAAGGAGAAAGAGGCGCTGGTCAGCGCCAGGGCGGAAGAGAAGCGATCGGCTGTCCGTAGGGAGGCGCTAGGTTGGGACAGGTATGATACATACATGTCTGCGTGTTGCGAGCTTCCTTTTGGTCTTGATCTCTCTCGTGCTGTTGTGTGCGATTTGATTTGTTTGTGTCGTCTTCTTCTTAACACTTGGCATGGACCGCGCGTCGATCGTCCGGCGTCTACCGATAAGAAGACGCCAGTTCTTTCACACAGGAGGACATAGGTCTGAAATATTTCTTATTCCACGGCCCCCCTCTGACAGGGGCGCCGCAGAATCGTGTGTGTCCGTTTTGCCCAGAAGACACATCGTTTTTTTTTTTCTTGTTGCCTCCAAAACGTGTTTGTTGTTTTTTCTTGATGTCGTCGTTGTCTGGTGATCACCCGTAACCCCCCTCCTTCCCCCTGCCCATGGCATTGGGACAGTACTCTTCCACCTTACACTGAACTCGACTCGACACGTCGTCAACTACAGTACCCTGCCCTAGTTCGTTTCTTCGTCTCGCCTTTTGAAATTGTTCGCCGTGCTGCCGATTGCAATAATAGCAGTACAACTGGTCCACAGCAATCAATCTCACTCGCCCCCCACTCCCGTTTTTTTGTTTTGACGTTCAGGGAATTCAACAGGTACTGGTGGTTTGGTGGGGGCCCGTCTGAGGTCATCCACGTAGAGGAGAAGGGTGGAGACGTGTGGGGGCAGTACAGGAGTCAGCAGGAAGTAGACGCTTTGATGGACAGCCAGCACCCTCGAGGGAAGCGGGGGGCTCCGTTGAGGCGAAGGCTCTGCCAGGTATGTACTGTAGAGCTTTTTCAGTCTTGTGGGTCGGGCGCTCGTAAAAAGTTGTAGGAGAGTTGAGCATGTTGCTGCGGTTGTCTCCTCTCATCGTGGTTGGCGTTTTCTTGGCGTGATGGCCTTGCCATGCCATGTTGCTCGTCGTGGTCGTCGTCGCTGCTGCCGTGTTGGTGTTGTTTTGAAACGTTTATTGAATAGTCCAACATTCGAGGCGTCCAGCGGTGGTATATGTGAATGTATTGTGCTCTGCGTTCCTGGTGCATAGTATGCCGGAAACGAGTGCGTCATTTGTGGTATGTGTGGGTATTTGTCCGATCGGTCACGCAAGGCGTTGTTGAAGGTGAGAACAGAGGACAGAGGCTTGAAGTTTGTCACAGACAGAGTGTGATAGTCTATAAATTGGCATTGCCCACCGGGGGGCTATATTGATCAGCCAAGTTACCACCGGAACCCATCTTTGGTACTCGTCCGCCAGCAAGCCAAAGCCAAGCCACCCAACAGAACAGCAAACCAGGTGTGTGGTCTGTACACAACGACGAAACACTCGAGACGACGAGGGTGAGATAGATGAGACGAGATAAGGGTATCGTCCGAATGCGTCCAATCGTCGAAATAAAGAAGTGGCAATCGAATCCCCTTTATCTCAGCAACCGAAACGCCGCTTTTCAATCCCCGTCTCATACCAATCTATCCAAGAGCAAGGACGAGATGCAAGTGGGGTTCGAGAGGGTGCGGCTTGTTGACGCGGCCGAGGAAGCCGAGCGGAAAGTGCGGGAGGACATAGAGCAGGAGCACCTCCGACAGCTGGCTGCAGTCGAAGCCGCAGCCAAAGCCGCTGAAGCTGCTGCCGCTGCAGCGGCAGCAGCGGCAGCGAGAGGCGCAGACGGCGACAGCTCCACTCGACGATCCTCTCGCAAAAGGCCGGGCCCCTCTTCTCCGGTGCGGTGCAGTTGCAAAAACGTTTTTGCAGGCGCAGGGTTTGATGCGAGTGGTTCTCCGGATGCCGGTCGGTATGAAGTGAAGGCGTAGGCCCTGGTTGGACGATGGTACGCATAGTCTACGCATGTACCGTCCGTCCCGTCCTACAGTCAACACTCATTGTTCCATTAATTCACAGAGGAGAGGAGAGCCGCTCACACGAGGGTCGTGCTATGCCTAGCTCGCTCCTTGTGGGTGTCATACGGTGCTATCACCCTCTTCGCGCTTGGTGGCCTGTGGAAGCTCCTTCCCCAATACCCCGCGCTACTACCCTTCGGGTCCATTTCATTTTCGTATACCTTTTTTCGGTAAGTTAGCCTGTGACCACGCGAATCAACCGCGTCAAGTGTTGGACTAGTACGGGCAGAAGAAGGTATTGGGCCGAGAGAACGGAACGGTTTTAAATGTGAAGACAACAACAACAACAACTAGGCTATCAAATTTATGTGAAACTGTGTTAACGTTTGCTACTCCTGTGTTGCTCTACAGGGGAAATTTGCCGCGGTGAGTACGACCATTGCGTCCCCCCCAGTCGGTGCCCTCGAACACCGCACTCAGGGCAGCAACGGCAACAGCAACAGCAGCAGCGGTAGGATGGAAGCGGCGAGAGCGGCTGCGGAGGCAGAGGCGGCGCAGCCGTACGTGCCGCTGCTCCCGGCGTGGCGACACGTGGCTCGAAGAGGAGACAGGGACTTCCTTCGGAACCTCAAGCTGGAGCTCACTAGCCTAGAAGAACAGGTGAGGGTTAAGACGTTAAGACGAGTGCGCCTAGCGAGAGAGACAGGCAGGGTAGCCTTGGGGGGGCGTCGGAATTGAGGCCGGCTCCGGTTAGATTGTTTGTGTCTGAAGCACCAAGGTTGGTAGGGTGGGAAGATCTGCCGAATCTCGCGTCAAGACGGTTGCTGGCTCGCTGTAAAGGCCGAAAGGATGCGTGTTCCGTCATGATCCGGCGGTGTGATGGTGACTCTTTTACGGTCCCTCGTGTGCGGTGTTTGCTGCCGTCGTTTTTACCGCTGTGTGTTTCCGGCAGCCTCGTCTCCCTCACTGTGAACCCCTGTGTCCTTTTCTCTCTGTCTCATAAAGTGCATTCGGTGTTCTCTCGCGTAACCCTCACCCTACTCTCGTACAGATCGTTTTGTCTTGAACCGAAAATCCATGGTGTTCGGCTTGGCTGCCGCGCTTTTTTGTTGGTGCCGAGGCCGATTGCTCTCTCTCATTCTTTGTACGGTTCGCTAAGTGTGTTATCCCCATGACAGTTTAGTCTATTCCCACATGCCTGCGACTGATCCACCTGGCATCTGTGCTGTGTCTGTCTGTCTGTTGGCCTGTCTGCCTGTCGGCCTGTCTGCCTGTTTGCCTGTCTGTCTGCCTGTCTCTCTGTCTCTCTGTCTGTCTGTCTGTCTGTCTGTCTATCTGTCTGTCTATCTGTTTGTCTGTCTGTCTGTTTGTCCGGGTCTGCTGATGGCTGTGTCCAGGTTGCGCCGCTCGGGAACACGACCGTGACAGGAAGGCACTCCAAAGACCGGCACGGCTGGGTGAGGGAGGTGGCGACGGCGAGGGATGTTCTTGCTCTCCGCCGACCCGCGGTACAGCTTGAACGAGCATTGTATGGTGAGGCCCTTCCTCCGCCACGGCTATTTGTGCTTTTGTTCATTTTTTTTTTACCGCTCGGCATTGTCCTTTCATACCTTTCATACCTTTTATTCGTTTCATACCTTTCATAGGTTTCATAACTTTCATACCTCATAACGTTAATACCTTCATTATAGGTCCGGAAGCCGGGCCACAACCCCGAGGGGGCCATTTGGTGGTTGTGATTGATACCTCGACGGTTTTATTAGTAGTGCTTGCCCGACCGGCCCTGCTCAAAGGATGCTACTCGGTAACTTTGATCATTCACCACAGCAGTCTCTCTGAGGTGTGAGGCGTGAGGTGTGAGGTGTGAAGTGTGAGGTGCGCGGCGGTCACGACAGAGGTGGATGGCCCAAAAGCGCTAGTCGGCCTGGAAAACTGCCGATTTTTCCGTGTTCTGCAGGCCGAACACCGGGTGACTTTTCATCTCCGTTGTCGTCCGCATTGTTTTGTGCTGCACATTGATAGTGTGCTCCCGACGCCTGCCCCACCTACTACTGTCGGTTCGGCGTGTTTTGTTTCCTTTTTTGTTTCCTCCACCGGCCCATGAAGCGTGCAGCCGGGACATGATGGAAAACCTGGCGATGGACTGGTCCAGCATGGCCGTTGCCGAGGGGGAGGATGTCTCGTGGGACAGCCCGTACGATTGGACTTTTCTCAAGTCGCAGGGGCGTGACCGCCGAAAGGGAAAGGATCGAGAGCAGAGAGCCTCGTTGGGCGAAGACGGCAGAGCTGCTCCCAGTGCTACCGTAGGCAGCGGCAGTGCGGCCATAGGCGGCGGCGGTCCAACGGCAGCGGAAGTCGGCGCGTCAGCACGCGCTCCTTCAAGAGGCAAGCGTAACGTTGCCAAGAAGAGAGAGAGCGGTCGAGAGTTGACAAGTCCCGCTGCTGCTCAAGCTGCTGCCGCTAAAGCGGCCGTGTCCCCTGCTGCTGCTGCGTTTATGGGGAGGGGGCGGCAGGAGGGAGAGGGCACAAGAGAGGGGGCCCAGGGGGCGAGAAAGGTGGCGAGGGAGGAGGTTATAGAAGAGGCTCGTGTGTTCGCCGCTGGTGACAGCGCGGGTGCTGGTGTTAACTCTTTGGCGGAGCTACTGGTGCCGGGGGGGAAGGCTCCACCGGAAGAAAGCTCGGCCGGATGTTTACCCTCAGCAGGGCGTGTCGTTTTCCAAGATGAGGATGATGCACAGAAGGTGACAGAAAAGGCCGACTCTCAGCCGGCTGCGTCTGATACTCCTGTTACTGAGGCGACTCCAGCGACTGGCGACGAACAGGATGCTGCCACGAGTGCTACCACTACGGCAAGATTAAGCGGGTTACAAGCTAGCGATAGCGTACAGGGGGGCGCGTATTCTACGCCGTTAGAGGGGAAAGTAGGAGTCGCCAGGCCCGCGTCCTCCTCTCTGCAAGCGACGGCACGCGATGGCGGCGAAGAAGGCCTCAATGCTAACAGCGCTAACAGTGCTAACAGCAACAGTAATAATAACAGCAACAGCAACAACAGCAGTGCAGCCCCTGCCGACGCCGAAGGTAGTAGCATTGACACCAGTGACACCAGCACCGCCACCGCCCGCACCGTTCCTTCGGAGCCAAAGGCCACGACGCCGGCTGTAGCAACTCGTGCTTCCGACGAAGCGAAGGAAGTGAAAGAAGTGAAGGAAGTGAAGGCAGGGAAGGCAGGGGAGACTGACATCTCCGGAGATAGTAGCGGCGGCTTGGGAGGCGGTGGGGTTGTTGGTCTCGCCGGTGTAGACGACGAGAAGGACCGCACGAGGCTAAAGGAGGGAGCTGATGATAGGACAGCCACGGATGCTGGTGGCAGTATCAGCCATCCGCCAGAAGCTGCCGGTGGGGGGAGTGCAGCCGACAACGTGGCGAGCGAAGCAAACAGTGGTCCGATGGAAGTAGAAGGAGGAGGGGTGGAACTAGAGAGGAACTCTGGGACGATGAAAACGGCGGCCGTCGAGGATTCGCGAGAAGGAGAACCAGCAGGGATGAGCGATGATGGCAATGGCGACAAGACACCGGTCCTAGATGGGCAAACGGAGGCAACCCCCGATGCTGGCGGTGATACAGGCCCCAACGCTGCTTTCCCTGTGGAGGATGCGGCTGGAGCGGCGGCGTCAACTCCTGCAGACTCAGGAGGCAACGAGGGCGACGGCGGCAACCCTTCCAAGACTGCCGGTGTTGATTTGTTCGAGAAGACGAAACCCAGCGGTACCCGGGGTGATATTGATGATGGAGATGATGATGCGGAAGTCCCGGAGTCCGTGAAAGGCATGCAGGAGGGGGGCAGGAGAGACCAAGGAGCAGGGGAGCAGCAGGTGGAGGAGGACAATGCTGTTGCCACTGCCGCTGCTGTTTCTGCTGCTGCTGCTGCTGCGACAGTCGCGCTAGGCGTTGGGGGTGATGGGTCTACGAAAAAGACTCCGACGACAATGACGAAGGCAGAAGCGGATGATGCGGGTTTAACGGAGGGCAACGTGAGTCTGAAACGGGTCGGCATGGAACCCCGTATGGCATGGCATTCCGGTTGCGTCCGGAGATGTTTTTTTTTTTTGCACCAGTGGGGTGAAGCCGAGGGTTTCCCGGCGCTTCTGGTCGCGGTGGTACTTGTCGGTGTTATTTCTTTTTGCCCCCGCACACACCGTGCAGCTCGTCTCGAGTCCCGCGTAATATGGCAGCAGGCGGTGGTACCTGCGGCTAGAACGAAGGAGGGAGGAAGACGCGACTGTTTGTCTTTGTGCGATGCTGCCTTGAAGAAGACTGTTTGCAGTAGTTGGAGCGGCCGCGGTGCTGTCTCGTAAAAGCGATGGAAAAGCCGTACAGGCCATGGTCCATCCCGAGCGCGGTTTCGAGGGAGCCAGCAACTTATTTTTGCTCGTGCGGATCCTCGTCACCGCCTGCCCCTGGCTCTTACCCGACTCCTCGTAGCGCTGCCGTCGCCTATGTAGCATCCCTCTGAGTTTGTCTTTGACACCCGTTGCATCCCATTTTTCGATCATTTGCAATTTTTGTGTTCGTTTTCGTTTGAGTAGGCCTTTCATTCTTATTCCGCTTGCATTTCATTTCAATCGTGCTGTATGGCATCGCGTTGCACCATACAACATCCCACAACATCAGAGGCCCCCGTCATCGCCATCAAGTGCATTTGCATCGCGACAACACCACAAGCAGGAGATGGACGGCATGGACGAAGCAGCAGAAGAAGAGGAGGAAGAGGAAGAGGAGGAAGAGGTCGAGCCGGAAAAGCGGTGGGAGATGGAGAGGGAGGGTATTGCATTGGCTAATCTCTCCGCGGAGCTACAGGTGTGTGTGTTGTGTCGTGCGGGGGAGGGAGGGAGGTTTGTTGTTCTTTGATGGCCGTAGCCGTTGGACCATGATGAAGCACTCGTTGGTTGAGATTCACAAAGGCTTCGTTGCGGTTCCTATTCATTACAGAGCACATGTAGTGGCAATGCTTCTTGTTATCGTCTTGGCTCATGTCAATGTTCCTACCGTAACTCGTGTGGAAGATATTATGCATTACCCCGGCGCATCCTTGACAGAGTTTGCTTGGCAGTCTCACATGCGGGAAACTCCTACATGTATTTGCAACTTCAACGTTGTACTCGGAGCGGTTTTGCTCGCCGCCCATACATAAACATGTAGTTCGTCCACCTTGGGACATGGTAGTGTATCTACCAAAAATCGTGGTTCAAGGGTCTACCGACCGTGGTTCTCCAAGGGGTGGTTGTTGAAAAACATCCACTCCAAACATACAGTCCGTGAGTCTACAATAGCCTCGCTTTTTGAGACGTAAGGCTTGACGTGAGATGAGGCACGCCGTTGGGGCAAGCACGTACGCTACAATTCACTACAGCAGTGCAGTACTATACGGCAGGGTTATCCGTGGCACGTTTATGCGAGTTGCTGGTAGGCGCGTTGTCCTTGCCAAAGCCGTTCGCCTTGAAAGATCATTTCGCCCGCCCCGTTTTCGTGAAGGGCGCCCTATCCACGGACCCCGCGTTTCGTGAGGCGTGGCGGAAGGAGATGCTCGCCGCTCGCACTCTAGCCGGGGTGGCGACGTTGGTGTACTCGCTCCTCACAAGCGCGGCAGGGGTCCTCCCTGCCCTTCAAGAGCAGGACATGCAGGAGCAGGCTTTGATTAACCAGGTTGGTGGAAGGGCACCTGAGAGAGAGGGAGATAGTGATCGGGAGGATGAGAGGGGACCCTCTTTAGCCGGTCGGGCGGGGTCGTTCATTTTGTGAATTACTCCTAGTACTTCGAGGACAGAGGGGAGGAGGAAGCAGCAGGCGTTGCTGTCGAGGAGGGGATTGGGGGGCGCTAGACAGGGGTGTCGGTCTGCTGTGGAAAACGTTTCAACCACACGGTCCTGTGTAGAAGCACTTCCCACCCGTCTATCTGGGGTGTTGCCGAAAGGCTATGTGAGCATTGTGTACTTTCTCGGCAGGGCGAACACTAGGCGGGAGAGGAGTGGGATTGACTGGCATCACCGAACGTTTCCTTTCCTATTGCAGCTCTCCGATCTTGCAGTCACGCGGTAGACCACTCCGCACACCAGAATTGTGCCTACACCTCGACGAGCTGATCTAGTATACTTGTACCATTTCGCGATATCGAGAACAGCCTGTACCACCAAACATGGCAGCGCTCCATTTCACTCCATTCTCCTACCCATGGCCCTCGCCCCGTTTCGGTTCCGTTTCGACCCATTGCATCCCACGCCTCCGGAACACACAACACACCCGAAGGACCTCGCCACCAACCAGGCGCTGCGCGTTCGCTGCTCCTCTACGTCCGAGATCGTGTGGGCTCGCTTGCACGGGTTTCCATGGTGGCCAGCTCTTGTCGTCAAGCCAGAAGGGGTGGGCTTTCAGGTAAGGAGAACCGAGGGGCACAGCAGAATCGATTTTTGTTGTAATCTGGGGGGGGGCGGGCGGATGGGTGTCACCTGGAAGCTAAGAGAGGAGGTATTCGGGGACGGCAGGCTTGGGGTTGTTGGGTCATGTCATGCTGGCTCGTGTTTGGCTTCCGTGGCGTGTTCGGCGTTTGCAGGTTAGTGTTGCTTGATTCGAGTGCGCTGCAGGTAGACGCAGTCCGTGCGAACAGCCTCTGTAGGTGGCCATCTTGTTGTTCTGCCTCTTTTCACGTAGATTACAGGCACGCGGTGCTGCTGTGATGTCTACATGTGCCGATGCGGAACGAGGAGACGAGATGATGTTGGTGTTTGTGTCCTCCAGTTAATATGAATTTCGTCGTTCCCCCCCGCCGTCGGTTTACTTGAAGAAACCCCATCACCGGCTGCGGATTCCTCTTTGCATCCCCACTTCCATGCGTTCCTTGCCCTTCTGATGCATTCCTGTTTCGTTGAATGTACTCGGTGAGGCAGAACACGCCGCTCTTAGCCCTGACTGTTGTAGTGACCTCTGATTCTGCTGTTAATGTTTCTCCGTAATTTTTAGTGGCCTCTGGTTCTTCTCGTTTCTCCGTAATTTTTGCCGCCGGTATCCCTGCCGCCGCTGCTCCTGGTGCTGCTACTGCGTTTTTTATTTTTTTATGTTACCGATGCCATCTTAACCTGAATGCGTTTCTGCTGTTGCATGGCTGGTGGTGATGCTGTCGCTGATGGACTCCACAAATCCTGGGAAACGATTGATTCAGCGGAGCCTCCTAGAAGCGGGTGATCGCCTCGTGGTCTTCATGAACGAGCACCAACAGTTCCGGGTGAACCACCGCTTCTGCAAGCCATACGTAGGCACGACCAAACACGATGACGTCATGCGACGGGCAAGCCGCAGCAACAGGAGGATGGCCAGAGCGATAAAGGTACCTGGGCGGTGCCGCCTTGTATCATGAGGACGTGGGAGCTGGTGTAAGGGCGGATGACGCCAGGCTAAGCTGCTTGTACGGGTAGGGATATTGTGGACAGCTACCGATGGCGAGACAGACTGCTGAATAGTCACAGCGAGACGGTTACGGGAGATGTAGAGCGTGCTTTCCCAAAGGCAAGGAAGCCCTAACAAAGGACGCCTTGCACGGGACTGTATCGTTCCAACATATGGATCGATTGATCTTGATGATGATTTCTTCAGTGCCTCGAGGTCGAGAACAGACTCATTGGCAACTAGTCTAGGTGTCGTCGAAATGCCGTGGCTCATCGAAATGTTCTTTCTTCACCAGTACAGGCAGGAGCAGCTACAGTGTCTCAATCCATTGCTTGTCTGTGCGTCTGTCTTCATGGTGTCTTGAGGCTTTTCGGCATTAGTTCTCCCTGCCATGTAATCTCCGTCCGATGGACCTAAAGGTCAAAGTGTCCCCGAACAACAACGTTCACGCACACAAGAGGAAAAAAAAAACACACGCCTTGTCTTTGTTCCCTGCCCCTTTGGGGGTACTGTACTGCACTCTACTGCACTGTACTTTGTTGTTGAATTGTTGAATACTGCAGATGGCAACGAAGGGGCTCCGAGTGGCGCACGAGCGTTTCGGGAGCGACGGTGACCCCAACGCCCCTCACAACCGACCAAACTTCGACACACAAGACACACAGCAACAACAACCAGCCGCCGCCGCCGCCGCCCCCCCCCCCGCCGCTGGTACGCGGTTGACGGGGAGCGCTACCGCCGCACCACCTGCTGCTGCTGGTGAAGTCTTGACAGGGAGCGCACCCGCCACCTCTCACCGCTCAGTGCCCCCCGGGCAAGCAGCTCAGCGGGGGCTAGCGCTGGCAGCGGCGGCGGCAGCAGCGGCGGGGGTGGGTGCGGCGGCGGGAGGGGAGACGGGTAAGGTTTCCAGGCCCCGCCGCACTCCGAAAGTTCCCAAGTATCTGACAGAAGGGATGGTTGGGGACGGCGGCGCGGATGCGCCCGTGAGATCGATTGCGGGCAAGGGCAAGGTGTGTGTATCGTTATCGTGTATGCTTTTTACTCGGATGTCGAGTGAACTTGGTGTGCTTGTTGTGAGTCTTTGTGCGTGGCCGAGCATGATGGGATGGCCCAATGGTTGGCCTCTTTTTCATGGTGCACTATCATGGTCCACATTTTCCAGTTTGTTTCTGCGCTTTGAAAAATGCTGCAAGTTTTTGTTTCATGGTGCCTAGACTAAGGGTGCATCGTGGGGCACCGTGAAAGGCGCGATGATTTTCATGGACCTTTCTTAATATAATGATTATTTCTAACCCTGCAATACCATTATACCCTACTTCGTACACGCTGTTGCTGACTGCTTGAAAACGTTTATTTAGTGTGGCAGGACGCATACATGTTTTGGGTGCTAATGCTAGTGTAGCGGTGGCCTGTACTGTAGCTGGGTCGAGGCATAGAAGAGGAGGTGTCCGGCTTACCGTACCAATAGCCGAGTGCAGTGCAAGTATGGTGGCAGAGCTTACCATACCCATCGTCATGCCCTAAGGTATACCAGAGCGGCACTTGACCCTCCGGCCCTATTGTTCCGCGCGAGTTCGCCGACAGCCGCACCCAATCCATCGTTCACCTTTTGTTTGTCACCTCGTGCTTTAATGTGATCATTTTGATAATAGACTGGCATTGCCGCTGTTGTCCGCCACTCTGCGCGCTCTCGGCCCACCGGTACCGTGCCCTGGCCTTCTTTTCTCAAGTCCTACTTCAATCATATTTTCCGTTTCTTGTTTGTTCTCCGTGGGCTTTTCCCTGTGCCCGTTGCGCCTGTAGAAGCGTAAGGATGGTCGTGTTGGTGGGTCCACCGGCATGTGGCAGGCAAGGAAGAGCCAGAAGCGGGGCGGCGGCGGTGGCGGCAGCGAGTTGGAGCAGCACCAACCCGCGGCGCCGGCGGAGCGGCAGCCTTCCCGCAAAAAGATGCCGGCCGCCTTGGCTCAAGCGGAATTAGCGAGCGGGTCGATGAGCATGGTGCGTTAACTGGGACTGGGTTGCACAACTGGGTGTCGTTAGTTGTTTTGTGCGTTTCGGCGGTGTGGGCGCCAAAAAATCGATTTGTATGTTGACGCGATTGTAGTTTGTGTGGGATGTGAAATTCTTGTAGTATGTTTCGACGTTCTCGTCCTTGCACAATTTCCTTGGCCGACCCCCAATGCCTACACCTACCGTGCTTGCTCTCGCCCCACGGTGGAAAAACACTTGTCGGCTCCAGCAGCAGGGGGTCCGTGAAGCGCTATCATTAGCTTCAGGCCAGCGATGCCACTCCACCTATGCATACCACAACGACACTCGCCTGGAGTCTGGCTCCAATTCGCGGCCCCGAGCGCCGGTTGCCGAGCAAGGCCGACGAGGCGTCAGTGTCAGTCTTGGCCTTGACGGCCCTCCTCAAGGACCCCTGCTGTCGCATAGCGTGTCTCGCGGGAGGGACTGGTACAGCAGTGCCGCAGACCGTGGGGCCGCGACGCCTATCTACGTTCGAGACGGCAGCAGGATGACGGTGGCAGGCAGCGGCAGCGACAGTTTTGCCCATCATCGCCCTTTCGAGATACAGCAACAGCAACAGCGGCAGCGACATGAGCAGGAAAGCGGTGCGAGCATCAGCAGCAGTAGCATCAGCAGCATCAGTAGCAGCGGTGGTCTTGGTCGTGGAACGGCCCAACGTGAGAGCAGGCAAACGCCGCCGAATCGATGGCAAGGACAACAGCAGCACCACCAGCATGGAGCCAGGTGGGGGGTCGGGGGGTCCGCAATCGGGGCACGGGTTACTCCCCCCGCGCAAGGCGCTGCAGCGGCGGGGGCGGCTGCAGGCGAGCTTGGTGCTTCGGGCCGACAACGGGTTCTGGCTGACGCGCTTTCTCGTGGCCATGCGGGACTTGGGCTGGGGGCGATGGGCATGTTTGAGGGGTGTGCTGCTGGCAGGACAAGCGCAGGCGGCGTTGGCGGTGTCGCATCGTCTTCGCCCAGAGCTGGAGGACAAGGCATGCTCGTCGCACGAGACAATCTGGACTTTCCCCCGCTAGGCACTAGTGGTGGAGGTGGTGTTGTTGTCGGGGTCGGGCCTGAGTCAAGCCATGTCCAGCTCGGGCAGCAGCACCAGCCGCCGCAAGGAGGGCGACGTTCGTGGGCGCAAGGGCAGGAGGCTGTCCTCTTGGCGCAGCGTCGTACACAGGAGTTGCAGGCTCGGCAGTGGCAGCAGCGACAGCGGGAGGACCGTCTCACCTTAGAACCCGGCGGAGGTGGTGTTCAACAGCTGGGGGGTGGGGTCACGGGGAGTGTCTTTGGCCTGGGCGAGGGGGAGGTGGGAGATTTTTCTTCGACGTTCAACATCCAAAGGCAGCAGCAGCAGCAGCAGCAGCAGCAACAACAACAACATCTCTATACCCTGCAGCTCCAGCAGCGGCAGCACCAGGCGAGGTTGTTGAGACAGCAGCAGCAGCAGCAGCAGCAGCTACAGAAACACCAACAACAACATCAACACGAGCAATACCCCCCCCAGATCCCTCTTGAGGCCGTTCTCGGCGTTGGCGGTGACGACATCTTCGAAGAGCAGACGGGAATGGGCGGCGGCGGTGGCGGCGGCGGCGGCGGCATGCAGCGATCCGCGTTGTTGCTCGGCTCGCCGCCCTTGTCGTGGTCGCAACAACGCCAACACCAACAGCCTGCACTAGACCCGCTTCGAACAGAGCAGCAGCTTCTTGCGGATTCTCCCGTGTTGGCGGGCGTGCCTGTGCTAGGGCTGGACCAAGGTCAGCACCTGGACGGCATCGGGCAGAGCAGGGACGGGGGTTATGGCGGCTCGTTTACGAAGGGGATGACAGCGACGTTTGGTGGGATGGACATAATGAGCGCGGACGGGATGACGACGTTGGGTGGAATTGGTAGCGATGGAGGAGTTTCCGTGCCCCCGCAACAGGTGCTTGTGGGGCGTATGGGTCAAGGGGAAGCGGCCGGGAGTCGGCAGCCGCAGCCGCCGCAGCCGCAGGCAGCGACCCTGTTTTTTCAGCAGCAGCACGTGAGGATTCGGTTGTTGAGTGATACGGGTATGTAGTCTCATAGAGGTGTAAGCTGTTCGACTCTTTTTCATGGCGGCGCAACACGTTGTTGCCACACCCCCTTGGAGTATCGCCTACCTCATCGGCGAAGCCCCGTTCCAGTGACATTCTGGGGATGCGATGCGAGGGTCCAACAACGACACACGACAGCCATAGTATCACTTCTCCTCCGTTGTTGTGGTTGCATCGTTGTGGTTTGCTCGGTTTCCCGTCCAAGCTTTTTGTGATTCTGGCTACACAATATTTGTTTGTCTTCTGTCTGCCCTTGTCTCCTTTGGCGCAGCTTCAGCATCTCGACAACTTCTTGACGGATGCTCAGCAGCAGCAACAGCAGCAACAACCCCGCCTAGCAACGCAGGTGTCAACACCGGAGTTCCGAAACATGAGCGCAACGGTTCCATTCGATGGCAGCATCGACGGTAGCGAAGGTGGCGGCGGCAGCGGCGGCGGCGACGGTCGTGAAGCAGGCAGTTTTGGGAGGGTTGCGACTTTGTAGCATGGCTATGTGAGTAGTTCTGATGGCAGTGGGGGTGGTAAGGTGCCATAGTGTGTGGCGGTATTGTAGGGCTGAGCTAGTGGCAAGCGATGCAAGAGCACGCGTACGCGGGTCAAAGCCCTTGCACTCATCTGGTACAGAATCTTGTGTGCGAACGTTGTTAGAGAGAGAGAGAGAGAGAGAGAGAGAGAGAGAGAGAGAGAGATGCTTGATTTCTTGTCAAAAGTAGGTTTCGCTACCACCAGTGCATGCCGTTGCTGAACAGTGTGGCCGCAACATTTTAGCGTACAGCAGTACCGACCGGGAGAGAGCTGTGTTGCCTTTTGTTGGCTCTTCAGGGACACATTTGTCTTCTTTTCGCGGACCCGTTCTTCGATTTCCAGGCATTCTTGGCGTTGGTGACGCCATACGCTTGGCCGACACCCACAGAGTTGGTGTGCGTCTCGTAGATTGCCGGGCAGGGTTTGACTATACTGGCTCACACTCGGATGAGAACATTGTACAGCTGTCTATTGAACATTGTAGCATACCACAGACGATTCACCACTCTGTCAATACTTCCACCTACGGCTGGACAGTTTCACACCATGTTGTTTTGTGTCTTTTGGCGGCCCGGGTCGATGTGCTGTCATGCTTGTCTTGTACACTCGTCCGTGTCGTTTTTCAAATGTAACATACGACGGGTATCATGTCCCTCGTTGATTGCGATGTGTTTGTTACATTTTTTGGTGGCGTTATCTTTTCTCCGTTGAGTTGTTGTTTATTCGATCGTGTAGCTGGGCTCATTGCAAGAAGACTTTGGCTAAAGAGAGAGGTGGAACCAACTTAAAACCTTGTGTATGTTGTACATTTCACTCCCGTTTCGTTACGTTGCGTAGTGGTGCTCTTGTTCGTCCGGTGTTTCGTTATTTAGGCCTGTGCCAGCTTTATTTCCAGCAGTGTGTCTGTGACATGTATGTATGGTGTGGAGCAATTCGTTTAATTCATGAGGTGTATGGTGCGTTTGCGCATATGCAGCAGCAACAGCTGGCAGCGAGCAACTGAAGTGGGGGGAGGGGGATCGGCTGTTTAAGTCTCCTGGTGGCGATAGAGGCGGTGGAATTGCATGATGCCGCTGGTGGTGGTGCAAAAGGGGCACGCGGAAACGAAGAGGGTGTAGGGTATGGGGTAGCGGCGGCCACGGCCGACAATGCAAATATGGTCTTGTGCGTGAACAACGTGTGCTGCGGTTTTGTGTGAGTATCCGTCTGGTGTGTGTGTGACATAGGTGAGACGTACATAGGCAGTGTGTTTATAAACGTGGAGGGTAGTAGGGAAGACGTGGTCGTGTGTAGCAGATTTGTGCGTGGCACACGCGCCTTTCCCGAGGGCACAACGTAGATGACGTTACGTGCTCAAGGTTTCCAAAATCTCACGGACAACAACAGCGACGGCCAACTTTAACGCAGAACAAGTACATCGGTTTTCTTATCGGTTTTCTTCGTGTTCTGTTCCAGGATTATGCGCGCAACGTGGAGATGGTGATTGCCGGTCGTGTCTAAGGCTGACTTGTGCATGGTAGACGGTATGCGCGTATTCGACCAATGGAATCTGAAAATGATCACACAATCGTGAACACGGCTTTCACACGCACGTATGATGCCCTTGCCAAAGGCGCTGGCTAGTTCGGCGACGGTGGTGCATGTTTGTTCCTCTTGGGAACCCGCCGCCCGACATGTCTTCGTGTACCCGAGACAAAAGAACGGCACGTTTCACTACATGACAAAGAGACGAGGTGCACGGAGAGAAAAGGCAACAACGTACACCAAATAAAGGCTGTCTGAGGAAGTTTCGCTCCGGTGCCGGCGTGAACCGTACGTTTTCGTGCACAACAAGATCGTGTGTGCCTTGTTGCGATTGTCTCTCACTCCTTCTTCTTCTCGAAGCTTCCTTCCTCTCCATCTCATGAACGCCCCCCATCGGGTCGATAACGTGCCCCCTGATGGGTGTGCAGCTCGATCCCATCGGGGTTTACGCTTCCGTGGATTCTGCCGGCTTGCCAAGCCAACAAGCAGCCCACTTAGTTGCGCGGCTTGCACACGGTGCATGTTATAACGTTTCTGGTGGTGGGTGGGCATGGGCATTTCTCCTATGTAGCTAATTGGTGGGTTCTTCGTCGTTGTTTGCACTGCCAAGATCGCAATTCATCTCGTCAAACGGCGATCGATGTCAATGTGTCTCCGAGCACGCAGATGGACACGTGGACTCGCCTCCTCCATGAGCATTACTGTAAATAGGAACCTGCCTAGGAGCGGATGAGTAAGAGGGAAACGTGCGCTGTGTTTCCCGTTATACTGTAGTTCACTCACAAAGTGCTCGTGTTATTCCGCGAATCTTCGGATAGGACCTATGGTGGGTGGTGGTTTTGGACCGAACCGGTTTTGTCGCAAGGC